TCAATGGGTTAGATGCCGTGGTGAAGAAGTTATGTAGGTCTACAGATTTCTTACAAAAACAAAAATACTTCTTACAGTCTAGGCAGAATTGGGTATTCATATTAAAACTCACTCAATGTTTTTCACCAACTCGAAACTATAGGCGTCCTTCGATTTCCCAACGTCCTTCTGGCCTTTATACACCAGAGCGTATTTCTTTGGTGTGAATTCTTCCTCTTTTCCTTCCACCAAGTCGGTCACTCTTTGCGGAAGAAAGACTACAAAATCTTCCAGTTCCGCCAGGATACACTTCCCAAATCGTGTTTTCACAACCTTAATACTAATTATCGGTATCTTCTTATTAACTGGAAGATCAGACAGCTTCACGGTCTCCTTCCTCACCAACGAAGCCTCTTTGTTTATTGCTGTAAGATCCATCTAAAATTATAGTCCATTCTTGACTTTGAGAATTTCAATCAGGAATTGTGATCAGAAATTTGATACTAAACAAATATCAAACTCACTTTTAGGCAGGATGTTTCACTTTTTCACGATTCAACAAGTTCACGACAATATTTCACAATGATCATCTATCCTCCGCTATCTTTTTTATACCAATATTCCCACTCATACCTCCCCACTTTTACTTGCTTACTCAATCATGAATAATGGCAAAATAAGATCATCAGCTAAAGTGACATCACTTGTTTACGAAGTTCATGGGTAAAGATGATATCAGCTTTCAATGTACAGGATGGCAAATAAAATACTTAGTTCATGGATTCTTCATTTTATTTTGAACACTTGCAATCAAACAATTTCAGATGACCAAACACCTAAAACATTTTTAAAATTGTAGGAATTTCTAAATTCACACGTTCTATATTCTATACAATCTCGTTTGCACTTGAAACAATGAATATGAGCAAATGCATGAATATGTTTATTATTACAGAACAATGATGCTGACTATTTTTTCATTTTCGAAACCAAATCTGTACGGGAATAACAAGACGGGCACAAGATGAAATGTTTTCCATTAACTGGATTGAATAAATGATAATACTTATTGCAGCTCGCATATTTAGTATGACACATATTCTCGTTGATGAAATTATCCAACGGATAATCCTTCTCAGGAATCTGGTAGGGTTCTCCACGTGAAGGAAAACTCAGCTTTATCTCAACATCTTTTCCACCATCGAACTCTTCATCATTTATAATTTCTCCATTACGTGAAATTGGGATCACGCAATGATATTCATCCACAAAGTCATATGACTGACCTGACAAACTACTGATGGCACTATCTTCAAATTCAGACATAATGATACGTAACTGAAGAGGATAACAACAGAACTGATGAAAAAATACATTTTTTCATGATTTTTATACATTTTTGGAAACCATTCCTGTCCACCCTATAATCGAAATTTGCACCGGTAGATTGTGCATGTATTATCGATGAGATCATTAGTGCTCGATAAACAAACTTATTGTTGTTGTTGCGATGAGATCATTGAGGCGTGGAAACGACGGATATTTTGCATAGTGGCCATGGTATTATGTTAATCGATGATCGAGCGTGATAAACAAACACACCTAGCAAATTATTATTGAATTCATTACACTGATGAGATCATGGCATAGGAAACGTAAACAGGGTGATTTCTGGACCAGAGACTGGCAACGAAAAATGTTACCGAAATTTAGGAACCAGGCACCCTAGATACATTCTAAGTTATGCATGACGTCAGGGTTCTTCAGTTCACACACCAGGAGCTCTGCAACGTCTTCAACTGCACTTGGAGGAACTCGATGACCGTTTGGGCCAGATTGAGCATAGAGCGTTCTGGGTCCACTACTCTCCTAAATACTCTACTGGTGTGAACAAGAGATTTTATAGACACCGGATCTATGTAACGGGGGAATATTGTCTTTGGTATTGACTAACAAACGGGAAATTGTATCTGTGGTGTAAAATGAAACGTTGATATTTTCGTTGGAACGTTGTAAAATGTTTTTTAGGTCATAAGAGACTTTACCTAGGAAAGGGATGGAGCAAAACAGATTTCTATTATTATTGAGTGGAATGAGACCTTGATTAATTATTTTAGTAGAAAATTTGTTGAAAATTTTGTTAATGAGGTGCAGAGGGTACCCATTGTTAACAGCTATCTGCTTGATAATATTCCATTCAGTATCGAAGTTTATGAATCTATTCACTCCACTTTGAGATACCATGGACTTTTACCATAGATTATCCAAAAGTTATTTGCCGAATACTCGTTTCATCAACTATTCTAACAGTCATTTGAATGAATGAAAAACGAAGGAAGCTTTGATAAACAATTTCTTGATGCAACATATCAGAAGTTCAACCGAACTATTCGCCTCAATCTTATACGCATCATGAAAGTATAGAAAGTCACAGTGGTTCTAGTAATAAACTTTTCAAGAACAAACAAATAGGAGTATCGCCCTCGGTATTACCAGAGATTATGAGTGTATAATCTCTGATGGTATTAGCTAAATATTAAAATGTATGTTCGATATGTCTCCCGTTCTCTTGGAGGCACAATCGAATGCGATTATGGAATGACCTTGTTACTTTCCGGAATAGGTCGGTTTTAATGGTTTGAAATGCGTCATAATTGCTGCATATTTTTTGGTTTGGTAGGAGGCTCTTGATAAACGATATCCTTCACATAGCCTCACAAAAAGAAATCCAATTCGGTTAAGTCAGATGATATGAGCTGCCACTTACTTGGCCCTCCTCCTCCAATCCATCGATCTGGAAAGGTTGTGAGATAGTCCCTGACTTGTAATGAATAATGTGCTGGGGCTCCATCATGTTGTATCCACATTGCATTCCTCACAGCTATTGGAAGATTTTCACATAAGTTTGGCAATTGGTTTCGCAAAAAATCCAGATACATAGGGCCATCCAAATTCCCGTCGTAAAAGTAGGGACCAATAACATGTTCACCAATAATTCCTCCCCACACATTAATTGACCATTTGTGTTGTCTATCAATCTGCCTGAAAACCCTTGGATTGTGATCGGAGTAATAATGGAAGTTGTGACGATTCACAAATTCATTCTTATGGAAGGTGGTCTCATCAGAAAACAAACCCTTATCAAAAAAGTCGAAATTTACTCCAATTTTACCTTGCGCTCAATGAGTTCTTGATGAAAGATGGATTTAGGCATGGAAACGGTTGTCTTTTAAGATTCGTTGAATATTTCTTTCGCTCATGTTCAGGGTATCTGCGATTGCTTGCTGGCTAATGGAAGGATTTTCCGTAACAGATAACAGCACAGCCAATTGATTTCCTTCATTTCGAACCGCTCTAACTGGTTTTGTATATTTTACATTTCCGGTTCGTACAAACCTATCCAATCAGTTCTGCAGGCTCCTTTTGTCTGGATACCGTCGTTCCGGATAACGTTGTGCATAAACTCGACTTGCCAAAATAGTAATTTTCCTAACAAGTGCGGAAAGTGATTCTTTTCCTCACGCGACTGCCGTTGACACGAACGACGCGAAGCGGAGTTCGGGCAAGCAGTCGAGTGCAGGAAAAACACTTTCCGCATGGGTTAGGAACAATATTTTTTCTACAAACGTAGGAAATTGATTGATTTGTTCAATTAATCATTCATTCATATAGGAACAACTAACTAGCTATATATTCTCTATCTACTGATTATTAGTAATAGCTATTGTTAACTTACAGTTTGACGCATTATATATAGGTTCATTGCGGAAGCCAGCAGTCCCATAAGGTGTTTGGTCTCTAGGTTTCAGACAGGAAATGAGCCAAAAATACTTCTTCTCCATTTGGTGTTTTCATTTCTTTATTGTTGCACCATTCAATAAAACGCGCGTATAGCTTCTCATACCTTTCTTAAGACTTCGTTGGCAATAATGCATCTGTATCGCATCCCTATAGCTGAAAGTTTTTGATCCCATTGTAGCAATTCCACAGAATCGAAAATGACAGTAACGCTGTGTCTGTCACTTCGACAATTACAAACTCATTTGAGGTTTGATTGGCATGACAACAATGATCGTTTCCCATCAGATCAATCCAAATCTATAGGGGGATTTTTATGATAATCAATTTTTATTCCTCAATATTGCTTAATTATCACAATAAATAGTGCAATTTGATGGATGATTCTGAAAATGCCCACTTAATACTGCAACAAACAAACTCAAACTCTCATATTTCATCACCTACCAATAATATTTTGCCATATTATCATAACTTTGTTTTTCCCGCAGTAGTGTGGGAAAAATTACACGCACGCTTGTAGAAAAAATAGTTTTTCTTGCATTCTCCTAATATCGAAATCATATCTACGAGCTCTCATTGGTTGTACTGTACTCCATGACAAAAAACAATATTTCTTTATAAACAGCTCAAAAAATGTATAATAATGAGCTAGCAATGTATTGAATTTGTACTACTAAAGCAAAAATATTCTCCTGACACTTCATCAGAGTTAAATGTCAATAATTCACTTCTCAAAGCCACCTTCGTTTTTTATTCATTCAAATGACTATCAGAATAGTTTGATCAAACTAGTTTTCGGCAAATAACTTTTGATTCGATGAGAATTTCGATGGGGTTGGAATAATATATAATTCTTATCGACTCAAACCTAACCATTCAAACGGTTAACCTAACATTTCATGAATACTGGCACTATATCACCATTTCTGCACCAGTGGCCAACAGTAAACTCTTAGCCTCTAACAGGGTTTCTTGCAGTGACATGCGGATACGTTGAGAGTAGATTCCAGTAAAAATGGAACGATAAAATATACTGGGCAGTACTGTTCGGGAATATCGGCAGCGGTATCTCACAGGTACATCCGCATAGACTTCGCCAGCAGAAAACATGATTGTGACCAAAGTAATTCGTGATGATATAACTTCTACATCCTCGCGATATCACATCAGGCTGAAACTGTAACTGCTGAGGCACCAGTGGTACGTGTACCACAGGTTGAGAACCGCTGCAGAGCTTCTTACTTTAGATCAAGATATACTTCTTATCTGTGTATATTACCACAGATTTATCGACAATAATCAGCTGAACGACAAAAAACACAGTCTATCAACATATCGCTGGAATTTGTTTGATTCTATCATTTAACAGAGCATAAAATGGTATACCTAATGTAATTCTTGATTCGGATAAGTCTGTGTTGTCACCTCTACAGTGATAGTAGGATTTATAGCAAAAAACCAATCATGAAATCATTAAAAAATTTAGCTGAAGCATGTCCTGAAGAACAGAGTAGATTCTTCAGTTCCTTCGACCATTTTTTAACTGATATGGATGGTGAGTATATATAATTTTCAAGGAATAGCTCAAATTTATAATAATTATGGTTACTATACAAGGGATTGCGACTGCCGGCAAAAACTCCAGAACTTGTTCAAACATATTGAGTTTTCATAAAAAGAGAACGATTTCATGTGACATCAAAAAATACTGTATGAGTCAAGGAAATCAATAGTAGATTATGTTACTGTTCACGATTATGAAGGGTAGATTATATATGAGAAGCCGATTTCCATGTTTTTTTTTTTTCAGGGGTCATATGGATTAATTACAAACCCCTTCCAGGTGCAGTTGAATTCATTAATAGCCTTAAGAAACAAGGTAAAAAAATCCGATACATCACCAATAACGGTTTAGCATCAGTCGGGAGCATATGGAACGTTTTGAAAAAGAACAAATTCGATGCAGAAATCGATGATCTGGCAACACCGATCACATCCGGCATCGCCTATTTAAAGCAGGAAAATATTAAGAAGTCTATTTTTGCTGTGGGCACTAAAGAATTCAAGGAGGAACTGAGGAAAGCGGGACTAAAAGTATACCCAGATCCAGTAAGTAGGGATAATAAAATGGTATTCCTTCCCGTGAAACAAGCTAGTGAACGTGGAAAACCGCGTGAAAAATTCCCGGAAAAAATAAAGAACACTGAACATAGTTGTTTCAGTGCAGTAGGAATCGATAGGGGTTCAAAAAGGGGTCACTATATCTGTGCCTATACTCCTTGCGGAATTTGTAAATTTTGTACGGCCTGTAGCTTTGACACCTTGGCCTGTTCGTTTGTGATTGCTCTACCTGCTGAACTTGATTTTTTTCTATGACATTCTCTGTTTACATCATGCCATGAACAGAGACAACTATGGAAACAAAATCAACTTCAGCAAGTTCAGCAACACAAGCGAACAGACCTATAGACTCACAAACTCAGTTGTTCAGATTTCTTAAAGCGTTCATTTTAGATCGAACCCATGAATTTTCGTCTAATTTTATGTGAATACCATGCATTCTCGAATTTATTTTTGACCCGAAGTATTCATGCAGCAGGGTGGTTCATTTTTCCAGATTCAGAAATTCCCTATAATATGACGTTTTGGTAATCCACAGACTTAGTCCCAAGAATTGTTTCTGCTCTGGCGTCCACATTAGACTCAGTTTATTATGCCCTTCACCTACTTGCAACTTGCTTCAGTGATAGTCTCCAAAGCCACATAGATTTAGACTCGGAGGTGTATTTTGGTCATTATGCTCAGACACACTCCTAGATAGCATGCAAATGCTCTGAAGTTGATCTTAGCATATTTTTTGAGAATAAAAAAGAATCTAAAGCTATCCACAAGAATTATTAATTTCAAGAATATTCTGATTATGGATTGAGGACACTTTTAAAGCGTCAAAGATTATTCTCATGATAGTAATAATCAAGATTCAGAATATACTTATCCCAAATATTTTCGAAATGAACTCAAAATAACCCATTCAAGATTATTCCAAGGATATTCCTCCAATTTTCTTGAAACAAACCTAGTGTTACTCGTGACACACAGGGTGTTTCGTCTAAATCGCATATCAGAAGTATAGAGTTCTAAAAATAACACTAATTTGAAAATTCGTATATTAATTTTTAACGATTGGGTCCTGTCTGTTCAATGAAAATATTTTCAAGATGGCGACACTTCTGTATATACCAGAAGTGAACAACAACTTCGATATTGTAAATAGGAGCAGTGTTGTTTATTGCTTTAGCAGATTCCTTATGTTATTTTGATATGATCTTCATTAACCTTCCCTTTACCTATAGTTTAGCCGTTTTCGAGTTATACAGACTCTTTGAACTTTTTTTTTTGATTGCATCTTCCTCTTTGAGAATCGATATCTGTCAACTTTTAATCTATCGGAATCATTTTATATACATATAGAGTCAGAAAGGAGAAGGGTCGATCTTTTTTTGGTATATTCATGTATGGGAAAAAAAAGAATAAAACTGTTCGAAATTTGCATAGTGTCCATGGAAATGAGAAATGTAATGATTTTATTGCATTAAGTCCTTCTTATATCTTGAGCTCTTAGTAGTCAAACTTCGATAATTTGGTGTACACGGGGGGTCACATTTGGGGCCGTTTCTATTCTATATTTTCATCAATCTGTCAGGTTGTTTTCGTAACATTGAAACTCCCCTAGATCATTGAGATTTCCAATCAGATCGGGACGAACTCTCAGACTATTGCTCACGAAACAGACTCCATTCGAAACCTCTCGAAATGTTATAATGAATTGTCTTTTCCCATAGTAAAAAACACATTATGTACGACTTGAAATTGAAAGACCAAATCATCGGAATATATTTGTGTTTCCTCTTCCTCTTCATTATACAGTGTGGTCATTTAAGTGTGCAACATATGGACATCTTTTTAATGAATTGCACAACCAAAATTCAGATAGTGCCGAAAGTTGGTGCATGTTCGGTAATCATTTTAGGTGCACTTAGAATGGTTGCAAGTCAAACAGCATACAGGGTAGGTCAAAAAATATATAAATTGCTCAAGAGTAAAGTACCCTTATTTCAGAAAATTCAGCAAAATGTTATTGGGAAAACTTGTTAACAATTGAAAGGTATGCCTTAATACCAAAACATGGCCACCTAAGACATTTTTTAGTTTTCAAATTATAATCGTTAATAATTTCCCAATTTGTAATATTTTGAATACAAAATGTTCACATTGAATGGAAGTTTTTGAATATGCATATTATCGTTGATGATGTTTCACCTTGTTGAAAATATGATTTGCGAAATTTTAAAGTTAAGCTGAACATCGTTGCAACAAACATAGAGATTGTGATTCCCTAAAAAAATTAAAATCCGAGTTAATTGCACAAATAAGTTTGAATTCAAACAAAAGTATGCTCAACTGATTTTGTTATGATTAATTTATGAAAGTATCTAGGGTGAATAATAATATGGAAAAAAATTACAAATTGAAAAACTAAAAAGTGTCTTAGGAGGCCATGTTTTGGTATTCAGGCATATCTTTCAATTGTAAACAACCTTTCCCGATAACATTTCGCTGAATTTTCTGAAATAAGGGTACTTTACTCTTGAGTATTCATATATTTTGACCTACCCTGTATGCTGGCTGTGTGATTTTCAACCATTCTGATTGCACCTAGAATGGTTACTGAACATGCACCAACTTTCGGCACTTTCTGTATTTTGGTTGTGCAATTCATTAAAAAGCTTCCCATATGTTGCACACTCAAATGTCCACACTGTATACATACTAGAAATTTTGGTGGAGGAACTTATTATTTTTTATCAGTTGAATCGATTTTCCTGGTGAACAGTGATGTGAGTCAAAATCAATCATGACGAGCATACGTTTTCGATGAAAAACTGTTCGAGCACCTGATGGTGTGCAATGAATTTTTCAAAAATCGACCGTCAAAGAGTTTGGGCTCCTACATGATTTAGGTCTAATTCAATCACAATTTCATTCAAATATGGATACCATTGGAATTCTGAGTTTTGACCGTATACTTATGGAATACCTTGAATAATTGTATCATCGTGGAAATCCTCAAATGCTCAATTTTATCCCACTGTTTCAATGTTTTTTCACAAAACACAAAGTCACTATTCACAATCAGTGGCTTCGACTGGAGATGATTATGATAAAAATATTCGTGTCAGCAGCGAATAATCACTTTTTTCTACATTCATGCAAAAAACAGAACTTTATTGAACTATATCTAGTGGAAAAAGAACTTCTTTATTGCACTTAATGCAATAAAGTTTTATTGCACTTATCTGTCATTCTACTTCAACGTGCTGTCATCATGACAAACATTTTCTATAATGCAACTGTGGTTATAGAAACGTCAGTCAAACATTAATTCTGACAATTAACAGAATTGTACCTAGTGCCGCACCTCAATAAATCATTTTTTGCTTTTTGCATGAACGTAGAAAAAATTTTGTATGCAACTCGTGCAAAAATTGTTTATTGCACTCGACGTGTTGTCCAACTCGGCCTATCGGCCTCGTCGGACAATATTTCACGTCGAATGCAATAAACATTCACTTTTTGCACTTGTTGCATAAATAACTATTTTCTACAAACGCTCAACAATGTAGCCTTTGACGATTTCAAATTCCAACACAAAGTTGACGTTTTCCAGAAATGTCATTCCTTGACAGCATTTGCGCTCGTGAGCGGAAATATTGAAAAAACGCTCGCACATCTCTGTAACCTATACTTATCTATTCTTGAAAACCCCCAAATCTTTCATGATGGAAAATGGTGACAGTGAACCATCAAACACACCTCCTGATGATATAGTAGAAAGCGCAAAAGTTTGAATCTCTTACCGGAGAAATCACGGAAGAAATATGAATTACAATATGATACATTCATAAATTGGTGCCACTCCAAGATAGTGAATATGTATACAGAAAACGTTTTACTGGCTTATTTTGGTAAAAAATCAAAGACTTTGAAGTCATCAACTCATTGGTCTATATATTCGATGGTACGTATACATGCTTGAAAGTTAAAATTATTATCGGAATCAATAAGTATCTGAAATTTATTGCATTTCTCAAGAAACAATCTATTGGATATAAAGCGAGACAAATCCAAGACATTCACCGCTGAAGATATATACCAACAAATTTCTACAAGAAGCTCTTTGTTATCATCAGAAAGACAGTGTAAGTAATGTTCAATTTGATTGCAGAGTTTATTGTACTATGGCTAAGAGGTCTGAAGCTCAGGTTGCCACGCTGGTGGTCCAGTTTCAATTCTCGGTAGGCCCGACATGTTTTTTTTTTCTGGCTTGTCAGTTATTTTGAGTTTTTTTTGTTTTCTTTGGACATATGGGATAATATGAATAAGAACTATTTCAACATTTCAATCGCTCATACTTTCAGGGAAGTTATTTCCAAAAGCTGCGTTAGTATAGAAAAAATCTAGTGTGTATTTCGAGCACAAAGTGTCATTGCCGCTCTCCAAAGATTACCGCGCTCCGCTCCGCATCGCGCGGTAACTTTCTTTGTCGAGCGGCAATCTATCACTTTGCGCTACTTCATATTCAGCCTCAAGAGATCGACGAAGCTATACCAAGTTTGCTAGAACATTTGCGAGACGATGAGAATGTTGGTGCAGTTTTTTTCAATTTTGATCCGAATTTGACATTCGTCAAGATGCAAAAAATGGCGACTTTCCTGAAGAGAGATGACTGTCATTACATAACTGGCCCTGGAGACAAATATATTCCTGCTGGACCTTTGGGGCCGATTATAGGTAAGTTGAAATATATTATGAATGCTGATTACATAGTTTCGCCAATAGTTTTGAAAATATTCATATTGAATCAACCACAAAAGTACGCAGGAGCAAACAAAAAACTCGAAGTCATTTCGATAAGGGTTCATAAAATGAACGATTGGTAGATGACTGGAAGAAAACAACTACTTTTCTGGCTGAATGCCTCGCAGATGAATATCATATTACTGAAATCTATCCAACGATCCTGAAATATTGTCCTATATTACTTCCAAATGTTGGCTTTCTTTCCATTAACTTCAGATAAATCTCATGAGGAAAGCTGATGGTGCTATCCATCATTAATAAATATATGTATGATAATAATAATAATGATATATAGCATTCGTTGATAGGTTCGAGGAAAAATATATAAATGATACAGAAACGATGATTTTACATACTTATCATAGGGCAGAATTCCAGTTGCCAACTAACAAAATGGCGGCTATTAACATGCTTCCGTGTAATCTTCAACTGTTCTCTATTGTAATATAGAGAAGTTTTCTTTCCAGAAAAATGTTGAGAGAGATCTAGCAAAGTTGAGAAGATATCTATTCAAAATCAAGAACAATATTCACTTTAATTTTTTTCAAAATAGCTTCCTTTCAACATTTTTCTGGATAGAGAATTTTTCTAGATGCCAATAATTGGAAGACATAAAGTTGAAGATCACAAGTGAGCACATTAATAGCCATCTTCCTATTCGAAAGGATCCTTTAATTTCAAGCCTTATCATCCGCCATATTGTTTTGAATGAATATTTTTGTCTGAAATTCAGTATCTCCGATCCCATGTACCTACTTTATATGCACACAATGTATTCAAAGAAGATTTAGATTTTGGCCTTATCTCCGATCTGAGTTCTTCAAACGCCGGTCATTCTATTATTTGAATATGTGAAGTAATCCCTATTTCTTCATCAAATATAAAATGATTAAACTAAATAAATGCATCTGTTTCACCTCCAGTGTAAAAGATTTACAGATAGTTTTTGAAAATTCCCTCCTGTTTCAATCAACAATTGTTCCTCCCTTGGCAGTCCCCGCGAGATTAACCAGTCGAGTTGAGGCTTTGCACCCCTTCGTGGTCACTTTGGAGACCTGCAGAAAATCTCTCTCCAAAGACTCGTTCATCCAACGAACAGAGAGGCTCTGGAACACATTGCCAAGGCAGGTGTTCCCCGAGTCATATAACCTCCAGAAATTCAAGAAGAACACCAATTCCTACCTTATTTCCCTTGGTTCTCACGATGTTCTCTGAACATTACAGGATATCCCTTTTCATGGGAACCAGAACATAAAAAAAAATTCAGACGAATACTCATTCAATATAGGTAGCCTACATATACATACAAAGTGAATTGTGGCTATTGAAACAAACATTGATTCAAGTGCACCTTGTAAGGTAGAAGATACAATCTAAGAAGTTGATCGAAAAAACGATTCAGTCATTGTCCGTTCAGTGGCGATTTCTTGATATGAATTTATTGATTTTATGCAGAGAATGCATATACCGTACAAGGAGATAGCAGCTGCATGAGTGTCTCGGGCGCCCTGCGGCAGGCCCTGCCATTTGTATCAGGAACCCATACCTCTAAACCATGACACGGCTACGGTAGACTACATATCATAGAATGTTAAAGACCCCATCCATGCCATGATGAACTCCCCTGTTTCTGATTCAAGTCTCTGTTTCTATCTGAAGCTGCAGGAGCTTCCTCACTTCTGCAGCTTTAATGCGGTCCTTTCTCCGAGCAGGCTCTAGCTCATGTAACTGAGTTTTGAGCCTTGCGCTCGGAGTCGGAAATCAGAGACAATTCATCAGCTGCCCTGAAGAGAAAAGCTCCTACCCCTGCCTCTTCATGGGTTTTGACCATTTGCTGGAGGTAATCCGAACTCCTGTCACTTTACAGGCACCGTCCAGAACCTTTCTGTCTTGGAGATACTCCATGCTCGAGAGTCCACGGCCATCCTGATGGTCTCTCTAGGTATGTTTAACCGTGGAACGGACGGATTCGGATGCAAACTCCTATTGAGATGCATTATCGTGCGGGTACTTACGTCAAGTTGTTGCAGCTTGACTTGAGTCACGTTATCACTCCAAATGATTAGAGTATGATCGTAACAGCAAGTATGTTAGTAGCAGCGACTTTGTTCTTTCCCGACAGTTCTGACGACCATGCAGATCTGTAGGAGCCGCTGCCGATACTTGGCTGCGGAGAGCGTCTTTCACCCCGGGATGTGAGTTTCCTCTACACCCAGGTAGGCGTACGTCTCTCCAGCATCCAGGTGATGTAGGATGTTTATGTCCACGAGCTGAGCGTCCTTGTCGTAGTTCTAGCATTGTCTATTCCGAATTCCATTCCATTATAATTATTATTGAAATTATCTCAATTCCAGTCACGACTCTGCGGCCTCCGACGCCACGCAGAGTCGTGCTGGATAAAATCCAGTGACTACTACCCAAGAACCGTGTGCCCTGAGTAAACGCAATAATCCAAGTATGACGGCCTCCTGCATTCCACCAGCCAGGATGTGTGCCTTATCATTGCACGCTGGGATTAAAAGCAGCGTATGTCGTGTGCCTCCTAGGAAGCCGATTATCAGGATAACCAATTCCACAGAATGGTCTGGATACAGCCTGCGGAGTTCGAAGAGAAGATCTCGATATTTAGTCCGTTTCTCCTCCTCCTTCAAAACGATCTCCATCACGAACATCGATTCGGTTCGATGGTCGAGGAGGACTACATCAGGCTTGTTAGTCTGTATTTGCCTGAGGGTGGGGAATGAGAAGTTCCAATAAATTCGGCACCTCTCATTCTCCACAACGGACTCAATATCCCCCGGAGCATATTCTTATCATTATTATCATTATTCAAATTCATATTATTCCAGTCACGACCCTGCGGCCTCTGACGCCACGCAGAGCCGTGCTGGATAAAATCCTACTACTACTCCCCACAGTCTGTGGGGTGAATAATCACTGGGACCAAGAACCGTGTGCCCTAAGTACACGCAACGATCCAGGTATGACGGCCTTCTGCATTCCACCAGCCAGGATGTGTGCCTTATCACTGCACGCTGGGATTTTCTGGATTTCCGAGAGCAGCGTATGTCGTGTGCCTCCTAGGGAGCCGATTATCAGGATGACCAATTTCACAAAATGGTCTGGATAAAACTTGCGGAGTTCGAAGAGAAGATCTCGATATTTAGTCCGTTTCTCCTCCTACTTATCGATTATTATCATTATCATCATCATTATTAATATTATTATAATTAAAATTCATTAATAATCGAGAATTTACCTTCACTGCTGACCTAACTTTTAATTTTATCAGGTAATTATCACAATATTCGATGTCTCGATGAAATTAGCGGCAGAAAATCAACACCAATAGCCAAGCCATCGCAGTTTTTCGCAGATTCCATTACTGAAAGATTTGGAATATCAGATCCGAAACGAGTCCTTTTTGTTGGAGATTCGTAAGTATTTTTCTGCATATATTATTATGTATACAGTATGACTGAAAAAGATATCAACAAATGGAAACCTATATTATAAAATTAATTTTAGAAAAGAAGTCATACTTCATAAAAAGTTCTACGAGGCCCAAAACTTGAAGTGTAAATATCAGATGTGGAATTGATTCAGGCGTACAGTTGCAACTGTAAATTAGGGGATGTTTTGAAAAAAAAAGTTTGCTCTGCCTAATTTACAGTTGCAACTGTAAATGAGACAGCAGAAACCTTTTCGAAATCTCATAATTTACAGTTGAAACTGTTAATTAGGTGTTTTGAAAAAAAAAGTTTTCCCTGTCTAATTTACAGTTAATTGCAACTGTGAATTAGGAGATGTGTATAAAAAAAGTTCTCTTGTTCTAATTTACAGTTGCACTTCAAATTAGGCAGAAGAAACTTTTTCTAAATAATATCTCCTAATTTACCGTTTCAACTGTTGCAACTGTAAGTAAATTAGGTGGTGTTCTGAAAAAAAGTTTTCTCTGCCTAATTTACAGTTGCAACTGTGAATTAGTGCTAATTCATAGTTGTTGAAAAGTTGGAAAAATCGCAATTTTTTTATATTATCATTGATGCATCGGCACCTTAAAGACGGGTTCTTCTCATTGTTCTACAAATTACTCACACTGAAATTTGGTTATTATAAGCTGATAATTCCAAAATTCTCATCGTAAATTAGGTTAGAACCCCAGTATTTGATGACATGTAAGGGAGTATATGATGGTTTCGGTGTGATGAATTGCAATTTTCTAGAAAAAAGGATTTCCCATTTAAATTAGGAGTAAATTTAGGTCAAAATGTTTCATGAAGCAGAATGATAAAATCGTCATTAGAAAATGGAGTTTTTTTGAATATCTCAGTCTCTGACAAAAATTCTACAATGTCGAACTCAGCTCTTATCTGGCGCTGAAAGTTTATATATAGGGTGTACCAAATTTCAATATTTCAGTGTGAGCATTTTAGAAAATATTCAGGAAAACCCGTCTTCAGGGTGCCGATGCATTTATGCAGAATATTATTGTGATTATCTTGAAAACCATCATGATATGGAAAAAAAAACTCAAAAAATTGGACTGTTTTCAACCTCAAGTAACTACTCCAGCCAGTATGATGCCATCGAAATTTCAAAATTCTGAGTTAAATTTGGAAACCTTAACTTCAGATGTAGGTACCAAATTCAATGATTTTTAGCCCCAAAATGTTACCAATGCTCAGGGAACACCTATTATGAATATAAATATAATATAAATATTGGAATTCTGAAGCCCGTGACCACCCTGACGCGAGCCTTGCCTTTTGAAATAACTCATGAACAAGATAATTGATTTTTCTTTCGATTCCATCATCGTAATCAAAGGAAAAAATACTACTAGTTTGCCCATTTATAGACATTGTAGCTCCAATAATAATCAAGTTAACAAAAACCCATACTATATAGTTCGCACTTTCAGGAAAATTAGCACTAAAATTAGGTGAACGTCAATATCACAATAGGCGAGGACACAAATACGTGAATTCAATTTAAATGTGAATATAACTGGAATATAACATAACAAGAATGCATCAATTTTTTGATATTGGAATTTGACAAAATAATTATCAAATCCTACTCATAGGATTAGATGAGTAAGTTCTTTCGCGTTTTTGTTTTTTTTTTTGTCAAATCGGATAGTTATAATAACGGTGCTATGATGTTGGCCGGTTTTTGTTAGTAAGCCTTTATGAACTATATCGAAATTTTCAATTTGTTTTTTATTAACAGAAAATTTGATATACTCGAAGAAGACTGATAACTATTTTATGTTTACTAGAATAAATCGTTCTAAAAAAATTAACAAATACAATTTTTTCGTCCCTGATTCAGGACCTCTTTGGAAGAACTAAAGTACACACTCTAGAGTCTAGACGCAGAAGTGTGAAGATGTAAAAATGATTCAAAACAATAAATTTAGTTTTCATTTTCGGAATTATTTTTATTATAATTTGCAAACTATAATGTTTCAGGATACCCGAAGACATGAATATGGCTGCAACTGCCGGTTTTCAAAAGCTCCTGGTTTTGACAGGACTTGCCAGTATACAGGACGTTCGATGCTGGCAATACCCCGAAGAATATAAGCCGGAGTATTACGTAGAAAGTTTAGATGTACTGAATAACATTTTGAAATCGTTAAATGTACAGAGAGAGACGAGTAGTAACTAATAATTTCTCATTGCATATATATAATATCTTTTATTTGTAAACAAAGCGTGATTTGAATCAGTATAGACATTGACTATGTATAATATTATTTAAATATATGAATGATGAAAAACTTCTGAGCTGTCTAGGAATATGTGGTGAGTTTTTGTAAAGACCTTTTATTGGCACCCTGTATGAGTGTATAGACGATCGAGAAACAAATTGAAATATCTTTGGTAGAAGTCCATATTGCTGAAAGTGAAGTGAAATGTTTCAAAGGAAGGAAGGAATGCTCGAAATCATCTCAACAAATTTTAATTGTGTTGATATATACACTTATCATAAGGGACATGTTTCGGTCTTATAAACGACCATCTTCAGCCTAATTGAAAGTTTTGGAGTGGAAATATGTTTTGATGCTACTATACCTTTTCAACTTCAATTTCGGAATCGGTGAGTTATATTTCGGAAAAAGTAATCTCGATTTCAGAATTGGTTAGTTCGATTTCAGAAATGGTGAGCTCAATTTCAGAATCGGTGAGATGAATTTCAGAATCGGTGAGATGAATTTCAGAAAAAGTCCATTCAATTTCAGAAATGGATAGTTGTATTTCAGAATTGGTAGGTTCAATTTCAGAAGATGAATCCCTATATATGTTTGAAATGTTTTCAATTGCAAAAGAGAGGATTGTTTACAGTGGATGGAACGGTGTTTGAGAGTGTGCGTTTGAAATGGGCATCCTGCAGATACCATAGTGGTAGTTCTGGATAATGCACCTGCACATTCAAGAATATATATATAGAAGAGATATGCATGGAGGAAGAATTTCAAGATGTCATATTTTACAGATCGCAAAAGGGTCATAGCTGGGGATCCGAACAGATTGCTCAACCAGATAGAATTCAGACTGCGATGTCTTGAAGAATGTGCAGATCATTCAATGAATATGATAACACCTCAAATGTGTTTGCATTCTTATAATCATGTGCAACGCTTCCATCCTTGTGCGATTCGGATGGAAGACATCTGTGGATCAAATTGAGATTATAATTATGTTATTGAATTGTTTTTGAAAAGTTGAATATTGTGAATATGGTTTGTTAATCTCTAATGCAATTGGAAACATTTTAAACAAATATAAGGATTTATTTTCTGAAATTAGACCTACCAATTCTGAAATACAACTTACCATTTCTGAAATTGAATGGACTTTCTCTGAAATTCATCAACCGATTCTGAAATTGAGTTTACCATTTCTGAAATAGAACTTACCAATTCTGAAATCGAGATTACTTTTTCCGAAATATAACTTACCAATTCCGAAATTGAAGTTGAAAAGGTATAGTTGTCGAATTGTTGTCAATGCCCATAGTCGAAAAGTCGGGTTAATGAATGATAGAACGGGTTCTCAATAAATGGAAGGCCCTGTGCTCTGAGATCGCATATACCATTATTCTCATTGAAATTTCATATACCAAAATGGTATATGAAGGGTGATTGCCAAAGGGTTTTGTTTCAAAACCATAAATTAACTAAACGAAAATATCAATAAAATTGATGGGGCAAACAGCCAGCACGTGTTTAAATCTGGGTTAGAAAACACTGAAAATAATTAATAATGATCAATAATCAAAATATGTGAAAAAACAAGGTATTCCATTGGCCAGATTCATCGGTGGATTCAAATTCACCAATAAATTCACTAATTCAATCATAACATTCTATTTCTTATTGTTTCCAAAATCCCAATGGTGAGAATCCAATTATAAACACACTGTACATCGTGTTTCTATGATTGAGTAGAATAACTCATGGTAAGTCGATTTGCACGAAATGGTTCTTTGTTGAGTTTTCTTATAGAAATATCCTGTGAGATGCATCTTCAGTAGGTGGACAATGTTAAATTTAAAATTACCATCATGACAAATGGACAGTAATGCGACATTTCCTCCTATTAGGCCCGTACGTACAACTGACATACGAAGCAACTATATGAATACCGATGTATTTTACCGAGCTGAATGATTAGGTACTCAATAATGGTGGATTCCATGATTGTACACTTTTGACAACTACACATAATATACAGGGTGTAAATTTGAAAACTTTCAATGCGAATATCTCGCGAAATAAAAAAGTTAGAAAAACGCCGCTTGGCAAAAATGCTAAAGAGTTAAGGGAAACTAGAACCACCATATTTCAGTGAAGGGATGAGTCACCCTGTCAGCGCAACACACCCCAACTTTGAAATGTCAAATGGCACTACCTCTTTTGTGATACCTCAAATGAACGGTCTCAGTCAGTAGTATTCATCTGTACAAGACTTTTTTTCCACCCACTACAGGGTGTACGAAAAACATTAATTCGAGGGTCTAAATTTGGAAACTTCCAATGCGAATATCTCGCTGAATAAAACAGTTAGGAAAACGCCGTTCGGCACAAATGCTACAGAGTTAGGGGGAACTAGAACCACCATACTTCAGTAAAGGGATGAGTCACCCCGTCGGCGCGACACACTCCATCTTTGAAATGTCAAATGGCACTACCTCTTTTGTAATACCTCAAATGAACGGTCTCAGTCAGTAGTATTTACCTGTACAAAACTTATTTTCCACCCACTACAGGGTGAACGGAAAACATGAAGTCGAATAAAATAAAATGCAGAATGCCGATATATTCCAAGAGATGTGTTCCAAAATGTTAGAATGGCATTTGAACATCGATTATACTATTGCTTAAAACAGAATGGAATGCATTTTGAACATCTGATCAAATAAAATATGCTTTTAACACAATTCATTTAATTTTATTCGACTTTATATTTTTCGTACACCCTGTAGTGGGTGGAAAAGAAGTCTTGTACAGGTGAATACTACTGACTGAGACTGTTCATTTGAGGCATCACAAAAGAGGTAGTGCCATTTGACATTTCAAAGTTGGGGTGTGTCGCGCCGACGGGGTGACTCATCCCTTGACCGAAATATGGTGGTTCTAGTTCCCCTTAACTCTTTAGCATTTTTGCCAAACGGCGTTTTTCTAACTTTTTTCTTTCGCGAGATATTCGCATTGGAAGTTTTCAAATTTACACCCTGTATGTATGTACCTACAGTGATTTTCTTCAATGACCCCACCTTTCATTTTTTGAAAAAAATTCAAACATGGATGAAGAAATTGATGCATGAATACTATATTTTGGAGTGAAATTGACAGATGTAAATTTCAAGATGGCGACTGAGCGCCATTTGAGAAAATGAAAGTGAATAGAAAAGAGAACAGGAGACACATCCTTTTGAAGCTTTTGAGGAAGACTTCACAACCCTAGAATATACAGGGTGTTTCATAATTGAATGCTGATCCTAAAGGGCGATAATCCTTGGATGATTTTAGGGAAAATTCTTTATGTGAACATAGGTTCGTAACAGCTTCGTTTCTGAGATACAGGATGTTGAAATTTAACAAAAAAATCAGTTTTTTCCCAATATCTCTGAAACCGCTCTGGCTTTTTTCTTCAATTCTGGTACATGCCAAGTATGAATAGAAATACATTTTTCCCATAATTAAGGATTTCTTAATTCCCATCAGTGGCGTTCCTGTTAACATACCCTGTCATATTTTTCATCAAAATAATAATGCTCCGACTAGCCAATTATATTAATACATTAATTGATGTTGATTGGTCTCTGACATTAAACAGACTCAGAAAACTCATTCTTCAACAACAAATATTCATCAGCATATAATTTGTACTGAAGCAGATACAATGAATATTTTAACACAGTATACTTCGTACTGATGTCCCCTGCAATTCTCCTGAACATTAATTTATATATTAATTTTTAGTTTCGAAAAATCTATATTAACTGTACTTCTGTTATATATTATTCATGTAATTAGGCCAATATGCCTGTGTGAATATAAATAAATAAATAAATAAATAATACGCCACTGTCTTTTTTCCAAATAAATATTATTTTTGTAATTATCCTCTATCTTCTCATAAAAATGATCTCTCGCCTTTTGTTCGTCCGGCGAACGGTTTTTGAGTTAGAAAATGAAATGCATTCATTTGCTTGTCCCTATTCGATTTTTACTCTTAGTCATAATTTCACAATTGTGGTAACCAAAAGATCTGAGCAATATTTTTATAATTTTATGGTAACTATTTTTAAGTATTTGTAATGAAGAAAAAAGCCAGAGCGGTTTCAGAGATATTGGGGAATAACTGATTTTTTTTGTTAAATTTCAACATCCTGTATCTCAGAAACGAAGCTGTTATGGACCTATGTTCACATGAAGAATTTTTCTTAAAATCATCCAAGGATTATCGCCCTTTAGGATCAGCCTCAATTATGAAACACGCTGTATAGTGGATATGTTCACCTATTACAAAACGGCGGAATATCTAATAGTAGCGTGAATACAAACATATTGATAACGATATTGTATTCCAACAAGATGGAGCAACACTACATTATCAAAGGCAACTTAGGAACTATTTATGTTCTGGTTCCAACGAAAAGGGATATCCTGTAATGTTCAGAGAACATCGTGAGAACCAAAGGAAATAAAGTAGGAATTGGTGTTCTTCTTGAATTTCTGGGGGTTATATGTCTCGGGGAACACTTCCCTTGGCAATGTATTCCAGAACCTCGTTGTTCGTTGGATGAACGAGTCTTTGGAAAGAGATGTTCTGCAGAAATATCGACGTAACGGTGTTCGGATAGGCCGTTCTTATGTCAAGAAGTTCAAGGCACATTTTCGAGCATCTTCTGAACTGAACTCAACTTATTTCCTGAAATTATGAAGTTAAACGTCGATGTATTCAGGCAATTATTAAATGTTCCTCCATTTTGTGGTAGGTGCAGATATTGACTTTATATTCTAGGGTTGCGAAGTATTCGTCAGGAGCTTCAAAAGGATGTATCACAATATCCCCCTTTTCTTTTAATTAACGCTCAGTCGCCATCGCCAAATTTTCATGTGTCAATTTTACTCCAAAATATAATATTCATGCAACGATTCCATTATCTCAAGTTTCCATTTCTTGAGTTGACCCATTCAAAAAATAAAAGGGGGGGGGCATTAAAAAAAGCACCGTATAAACGCAAGTAAATACACCTGATCAATGCTATAACAATATTATTTCACGCCCGCAAAGAACTAACCTAATTTTGGTAATTTAAACGACATAATATCCTCTTTATGACCTTTCTATTAACCCTAAGCATCTTTCAGTTACATCAGACAAATGAACTAATCAACATCTTAGAAATTATCATATATGCGTATCTTCATTACAGTATGATCCACATTATTATATTCTGGAAGTCCTACTCATAGCGAGTAACTTTGTGGTCAGCCGTTTCATGTTTTATCTACAGGGTGTTACGTAATTCGACCGACGATTCCAAGATGATAACTCTCGTGATTCGATGAAGAATAAAGCAGGAATATATACATTCATCAAGTGATTAGTTTTACAGAAAATAAAAATATATTTTTAGGATTCTCCTGATAATTACTGCATTTTTCTTCATCGATTTTGGTATAAGAACTGCTTTTGAAAATCTTCACTTCCTGACTTCGGTTATATCATCCAGTGACGCGCCATTGTTATGAATTTATTGTATGGTAATTTGGTTATATATATGTATTCAAATCAGCATGATTATATTGAAAAGGAATATCCTCACATCAATTATGACTTTATGTTATTATTCTTTTTCAAATGGGTCGCCTCTTTCAGAAAAATTGAATAACTTTCGAACCATCAACAAGTTGATAACCACATATATCGTTAGTTTGATTGCAAACTGTATATATATATATATATATGAAGAAATACATTTAGAATTCGCATTCTCCATGTGATAGAAATATCAATTCTTTCTCGGTTTATTCATCAGAAAACAACAACTTTCCTGGCTATATGCCACGACGAACATTGAATTATATCTATTAAACACACACGATAAGAATTTGAACACAAAATCTTCTGAAGTTGAGAATTTGCATTCTCCATCAGATAAAAATATGTACCTATATGCACATTACATCATTCTGAATATTCAACAACTACTTTCCTGGCTATTTGCCACGTCGAATATTGAATTATATCTGTTGAACATTCAAAAGAAGAGCATGAAGAATAAAAATCCTTTGAAAATTGATTCTTGACAATCTCTCAAATCAATATGATATATTATGATGATATAAAAATATAACTTACCAATATGTTCAGTATTAGAATGAAAATTGAAATGTACCTATAGGAGGAGTATACTTGTTTAAACTCTTTTCTTGATGAGCTTGGAACTTCTGAAAAAAATCATTTTTATCAATGAAATGGTAATTATATCTCTCCCAAACAGGTTATATGACTTTATTCGAATCAACTCATTCCGGATTTCAAACCCTTCTCAATTCAGAATTTTTCCACGTCTTCAATGAATGAATGACTATCGATTTGTCACACATCCAAAAATATGAAGGTTCGTTGATAATGCACTTTGCATCTTCAAATCTCGAGAAATCAGTAATTACTGATTCCAAAATTTGTCCATTATCGAACTTTGCGATGTTGCACTTCCAATTAGTACATCGAATACTATCTTTATCAATATTATTATCACTTTCAGTTTTATTTTTGACGACTTTTCGTATCGCTCTGTAGTCTGTACTCAGTATGAACCGGGCTCTAATTCTCTCTGTACCTAGGCGATTGCATTTGATTTGGCTAATCTAGTATAATTCCTGTTCGTGTATGCAGCACGCGTATAGCTTCGTTCAAAACAAAAACTACTGGGAGCTATTTGTTGAAATTGCCGCTGTTTTCGTGAGATGGTTAGTGCCGTTTATCTCCTGGCATTTTTCGTTGGGGACCTAGTGAAGGGGTACTATCAAGAGGACAACAGACCAAGGTATTTGACAGCCGCTGTTGGAGAAGGTGTAGTGCTGAACTGCGATATTGACTTCCCACAAGATTTTCAAATACCGTATAAACTACTATGGAAAAGGAGAGTAAGTATACCTGCGATCTACTCAAACTACTATTCAGACATTTCACCTGATGAAGCTACTGTATTAGGGGAACATGTCGTGTGATTTATAATTTCGTGGAAATCTCAACTTTTGAGAAGTTTTACCATATCTTCATTAGTTAACATACGCCATTTTCATTTGATTTCAATTTTCAGTGATATGCAGTGAGTTAGTCATGATTATTCGAGGTTGGACGGATCACTATTAACAATCACAACCACTGGCTGAAACATTATAAATCATCATATTTTGGGTAAACTACATTAATCAAAAAAGGGCAATTCGTCTCGTGGGTGATGCGTCGCTCACAAACTCACTACTTCTCTAGAACAAAGTAAAGTAAAGTATGGCCGGCGCGAGCAGTCACGTTAGCAGTGCGGTCTGCAGAAAATGTAATAAAACTGCAGTAAACTTCTTAAAATGTGTGAAATGTACTAACGTATATCATTTGAGATGTGCCAAGTCGGCGGATAATGTGATTGTTCAAAATGACGATTTTATAATATGTTGTGATTCTGAGTCCAGTGTAGAGGAATCCGGCGATTGCTTCTTCGAAGCATTGGAAGGACCTTCAGATGATAAAAAGGTGGATATAAACGTCTTCCGTTATATAATAAAACAAAAGGATACTATAATTGGCGAGTTACGCGACAAAATAAAAATCCTTCAAGATCACATAGAACTTTTGAATAAATTCCACATCGCTGAGGCAAACCCAAAGCGAGTTGGAAAAAACGCGAAACACGAGATCGCCAGTCTCGAAACAAAAACAACGAAGGTGGTAAAAACTTCTGATAGCGATATGGGCCAAATTGCGATCTCGGAGACTAAGGTCAATGAACCCGCAAATAAACAAGTGAATAAAAATATAAATACACCAATAATGCCGGAAACTGTTTCGGCTGAAATTTTGAAAGTTGAAACAGTAACGAAAATGAATGACATAATCAACTTAGTGAAAGATTCCAACGCAGATACTGATGATGTAACACCAACAAAAACACATGAAGAATGGAAACCAGTGCAGTACCGTAACAACCGTCGCAAAAAACAACTCATTATTGGGCAAAACTCAGGATTGCCCATCAAAGGAGTTCCGAAACTAGCAACCTTACATGTGTGCAGACTCAACAAAGAGACGACAGCAGAGGATTTGACGTTGATGCTAAAGAACCACTTCTCCGAGGTATCATGTCAATCGATTGTGCCTAAATTTCCGGCAAAATATGCGTCATTCAAGGTGACCATCAATGAAGTAAACTTCACAGCTGCTATGAATCCGATTATCTGGCCGGAGGGAGCTTGCATCAGCAGGTTTTTTCATTGGAAACCAAGACAGAGGACGGACGACTGACCATATCTAGTGATATTGATAACAAAACATCCAGTAAGGTGGGTGTCTTACATTTAAATATCAGGTGTCTATCAAACAAGATTAATGCCCTTGAACATTTTCTATTTGACAAAAATGTATCTGTGCTATGTCTTAGTGAACACTGGCTATCGAATGATGATCTAAACAATATCCAAATCAAAAATTTTACTCTGGCTGCTTCTTTTTGTAGGAGAGTTAAGAAACATGGAGGCGTGGCAATATTCTGTGAATCTAACATCGTATCCAAACCTATTGCATTGAACGATTATTGCATTGAGTCACATGCCGAATTTAGTGGAGTGGAAATTCCAGTGATGAAGTGTGCCATTGTTGCTACTTATAGATCACCAGTCGATGGTGACGTAAACATATTTTTGGATAAATTTGAAGAAATATTACTACTTTTATCATCCAGATATACACATATAATCGTCGTTGGTGATTTTAATGTCAACTTCAAAGTCAATAGTCAAATTCTGACTGAACTAATTTGTTTAATCAAGTCTTTTGGTCTAGAAGTTATCATTGATGAGTATACCAGAATCGATATAAAAACAGGCACAGGGTCCTGTATTGATAATATCATGACCAACTACGATTCCGACAACTATGTATCTGGTGTCGTAGAAACCTGTCTTTCTGATCATCGAGCACAATTTATTCTGATAGATGAACCACTTTGTCATAAACCTAAAAAAATTTTGAGAAGAAAATTGACTCCCCATAATGCTGAGGCATTCAAGGAAGACGTATCTTCCTTCAATTGGGATATTTTCAAACAATCAGATGACGTAAAGTTGTTATCAGAAATACTGATGGATACTCTGAACTTTTATGTTGAAAAACATTTTCCTTTAAAAGTCCAAACAGGTAACCGATCAGCACACCCTGTTAATTTTTTCAACCAGAAATTGAAAGAAATGAGGAATATCCTCACCTCATTAAAAATCATTAGCGATGCCTCTGATAGTGATATGAATAAAAACATTTACAAAAAATACAGACGAGAATATAATTCTGCTTTAAACGAATCTAAAAAATAGCTTACAGTAACTACATACAAAGCTCTCAAAACAGATGCAGAGATTCTTGGAAACTGATAAATTTCGAACGTAACAAACACTCAAAAACTGATTTTTCTGATTGTGAATTAACAGCGGACCAATTCATCAATTATTTTTCATCAGCCGCTGAATTGTTAACTGAACGGCTAACGACTACTGATAAAGATTCGAATTCTTTCCTGAAAACATTGCCAAGCAATAAAAATTCGTTCTTTTTCTTTCCTGTTTCTATAAACGAGGTAATTAATGCTATAGATTCATTGAAAAACACCAGCTGTTATGATGTTCACAGTCTAAACAGCTTGATTATCAAGAACATAAGAGATGTCATTGCAGAGCCACTTACAGAGTTGTTCAATTTATGTTTCTCTAGGGGAGTTTTCCCTGACGTTTTTAAAAAAAGTAAATTAATACCAATTTTCAAAAAAGGCAACGTTGATTTACCAGAAAACCATCGACCGATTTCTATAATTCCAATTATTGGTAAGGTTTTTGAAATAATAATTAAAAACAGATTGACATCGTATTTTGACTTTAACAATTACATAAATGATCAACAATATGGATTCAGGAAAAACCGCTCCACAATTCAAGCCGTTCGTAAACTGGTGTCTGATATAGTCGAGGGTTTTGAAAATGGCCAACAAACTGCGGTAACTTTATGTGACCTAAGCAAAGCCTTCGACTGCGTTCCACATCGAGGTTTACTTGAAAAGCTTGAACTTTATGGAGTTCGAGGGACAGCTTACTCCTTTTTCGAGACATATATATGCGGGAGAACTCAATACGTGTCATACCAGAATAATACGTCAGCGTGTAAGCCGATAACCTCAGGAGTGCCCCAAGGATCAGTTCTTGGGCCACTTCTGTTCATAATATTTATAAATGATATATTCTATCACATCAAACCAAGTCAGTGTATATTGTTCGCTGATGATATAACTTTTTACAATTCCGCCCTGAATTCAACAGAACTTCATCAGAATGATGTTGAAGCTTCTAACAGAATCAGTGAGTGGCTCATTCCCAACAACCTGATTCAAAATGACTCCAAAACACAGTCAATTACTTTTTCCTCCAACACTGTCGTTGCCACAAATGTACCAGTAAAACTGTTAGGTATCACCCTAGACAGCAAACTTAGGTGGGCTGAACACATTGACATACTGTGTAAAAAGTTGTCAAGTCAAACCTTCATCCTCAGGCGGTTGAGGAATACTATTGATGAGAAAGTTCTGAAAATGTCATACTTCTCACTGTTCCACTCACATCTGAGTTATGGCGTGATTTTATGGGGTAACTCTACCCACGCAAACCGTGCCTTCATTCAACAAAAGAAAGCAGTTAGGGTAATTGCCAAGGCAGCTTACAAAGATTCATGTAAACCCTTATTCAGGGCATTGGAAATATTTACACTTCCTGCACTTTATGTGTATTATTGTTTGGTTGAAATACATGATCATGTTCACAGCTATAGCAGACATAAAGATCTACACAGCTACTCCACCAGAAATAACTCCCAGCTCATCAATCCTAGATTTCGTCTCAATATTTCATCAAAGAACTCAATCAATTTGAATTTATATAACAAAGTACCAGAATCTTTCAAAGAGCTCAGCTCCTCAAAATTTAAATTAGCTATCAAACAGCTTCTACTGAAACACAGTTTTTACTCGGTGGATGAATTTCTGTCCTGTGACTTAACAAGAATAACACCATGACATATATATGAAAATACACCCATCTTACGTACCTACTACTTTTAAAAATATTTTAAACCATAAATCAGTGTTGTGTAACTATATGTATACTTGTTGCTTTTATTTGTTATGTTCACATATCCTCTATTTTTAATATTTTTTACAACAAGATATTTATATCTACGGACATGTTCCAAACTATTTGACGTGTGTAATGAATGAAATTTTCAAAGACACCAATAAATTCTATTCTATTCTATTCACCGTAGAAAAGTTGGCGATCTGGTTCTATTTTATAAATATTTTCATGGACGATGCTCTTCTGAAATATCAACAATTGTTCCTCCCTTGGCAGTCCCCGCGAGATTAACCCGTCGAGTTGAGGCTTCGCACCCCTTCGTGGTCACTTTGGAGACCTGCAGAACATCTCTTTCCAAAGACTCGCTCATCCAACGAACAGCGAGGCTCTGCAACACATTGCCAAGGGAAGTGTTCTCCGAGGCATATAACCTTCAGAAATTTAAGAAGAACACCAATTTCTACCTTATTTCCCTTGGTTCTCACGATGTTCTCTGAACATTACAGGATATCCCTTTTCGTGGGAACCAGAACATGAAAAAACACTATTTATCGAGATATTTCAAGAAAAAGTTCGAAATTTCGCCTTCTTTTTCCCCTGTGTTGGATGCATTTACAGCTGCTTGCTCTTCTCATTTTGTCATTAGACACTTTATATACTCATGATGTATTTCAATGACACAATTTTGTATAGAAAATACAACAGGAAATATGAATTTTATGGCGAGTTTTTCATAATTAGTGAACAAGCATACCAGATGACGGCCATTTAATCAATAGTCAAGCTAAATACGAGATGTCAAATGTCAACAAATTGCTTTTGAATGACTTACACACGCCATTATTCCAAATGATATTCTTTCTCCCTTTCACTAAATATGGATAAATCACGAGAAAATCATTTTCTTCTTGACTCATATAATAGAAAAAATGTGTCCTACCTTGTGATATATATAAATTGTCCAATGATGAAAGAAGAAGGGCAAATTGTTCTAAATGCGATCCAGAAGACATACGGAAAAGGTGATGGTGAAATTTGTAACTTAATAGTGAAATATCTTGATAAATAATGGTTTGTTCACATTTTCATCCTCGAATTCGTGTTTTTTAGAATTCATTCTTATATATCATGATTCAATTCGAAATGACCCCGAAATGACCCCGAATCTACTTCTCAATACCCAAAATCCATATAATTTCAGAGATAATACTCACTTAATTTTGTATAACTGCCTGAAATTGTTGATGTTCCTAGTAGGCTGTGCAAAATATTTATCGACAAATCAATTAAATTTGTTTACTGTCAGATTCATCATCTGAAAAAATGCAATATGGCTAGTGTTAGTGTAGTCAAGATTTTGAAGGGGTAGTTAGTGTTTTCTTCCCCAACTTCTACGCCACTGAAAAAAGTTCAGTTTTGAGCCACCCATCTGGACCGCCAATGTTTTCTACACAAAATTTGCTTGTCAAACAAAGTGTCACTTTTGATCCTAATGAAACAATCTATGGTATTTTTGTTTCCATGGCATTTCTGTTGTATCCACAGCCAAATATCCAAAATAACTGAAAAATGGCTGAAAGATGGCTTGAGAAAATATTTGAAAACTATATATATTTGTGAACAGAGGATAGAAAGATCTACCACTAGAGTTGAAAATATACATTCCATAAAAAAAACTGATTTGTACTTTTTCCGTCATTTTGCGATTCGCATCTTTTCGTTTGAGGATTGCCAAAAACTAGTTCAAATAAAACTCTACAACTTTCATATTTGAAGTTAGTTGAAGTATACACGGAGACAACCTGCACATTCTAAAAGATATTTTCCTTGGAAGATATATCATTCAATCATCCAGAACATGATTTCAATATTCATTTTCCGCTAAAACCATTTCTGATGTTACCAATTCATTTTTAACATATATAATCGATCATATAGTTGGCCGCATAATGGCGTAAGGCAAAAAAGTACTATGCATGTTGACAAAAACAAAATAAAATCACTCGAAGATTAAGAAAAGGCAATGGTTCTGCTATACCCTGTATACCGAAAAACTTAATACTGCGATATTGACTTCCCACAAGATTTTCAAATACCGTATAAACTACTATGGAAAAGGAGAGTAAGTATACCTGCGATCTACTCAAACTACTATTCAGACATTTCACCTGATGAAGCTACTGTATTAGGGAAACTTGTCTTGTCATTAAGAATTTCGTGGAAATCTCAACGTTTGTGAAGTTTTACCATATCTTCAATAGTTAACATACGCCATTTTCATTTGAATTCCAATTTTCAGTGATATGCAGTGATTTAGTCATGATTATTCGAGGTTGAACGGATCACTCATCACAATCACAACCACTGAATGATTCTCTGGCTGAAACATTAAAAATCATCATATTTTGGGTAAACTACATTAATCAAAAAAGGGCAATTCGTCTCGTGGGTGATGCGTCGCTCACAAACTCACTACTTCTCTGGAACACCGTAAAAAAGTTAGCAATCTGGTTCTATTTTATAGATATTTTCATGGACTATGCTCTTCTGAAATATCAACAATTGTTCCTCCCTTGGCAGTACCCGCGAGATTAACCCGTCGAGTTGAGGCTTCGCACCCCTTCGTGGTCACTTTGGAGACCTGCAGAACATCTCTTTCCAAAGACTCGCTCATCCAACGAACAGCGAGGCTCTGCAACACATTGCCAAGGGAAGTGTTCTCCGAGGCATATAACCTCCAGAAATTTAAGAAGAACAACAATTTCTACCTTATTTTCCTTGGTTTTCACGATGTTCTCTGAACATTACAGGATATCCCTTTTCGTGGGAACCAGAACATGAAAAAACACTATTTATCGAGATATTTCAAGAAAAAGTTCGAAATTTCGCCTTCTTTTTTCCCCTGTGTTGGATGCATTTACAGCTGCTTGCTCTTTTTATTTTGTCATTAGACACTTTATATACTCATGATGTATTTCAATGACACAATTTTGTATAGAAAATACAACAGGAAATATGAATTTCATGGCGAGTTTTTCATAATTAGTGAACAAGCATACCTTGCTTTCGAATGACATACACACGCCATTATTTCAAATGATATTCTTCCTCCTTTTCACTAAATATGGATAAATCACGAGAAAATCATATTTCTACTTGACTCATATCTAACTCATATAATAGAAAAAATGTGTCGTACCTTGTGATATATATAAATTGTCCAATGATGAAAGAAGAAGGGCAAATTGTTCTAAATGCGATCCAGAAGACATACGGAAAAGGTGATGGTGAAATTTTGTAACTTAATAGTGAAATATCTTGATAAATAATGGTTTGTTCACATTTTCATCCTCGAATTCGTGTTTTTTAGACAAAAATACGTCAGTACCAGAAAAAAATTTCGAAAAAAAAAACATCGCATGATAAATGCAGTGTTACCATATTTTGTAATGGGTACCTACGCTATTTATTCTTATATATCATAATTCAATTCGAAATGACCGCGAATCTACTTCTCAATACCCAAAATCCATAATTTCAGAGATAATACTTGCTTAATTTTGTATAACTGCCTGAAATTGTTGATGTTCCTAGTAGGCTGTGCAAAATATTTATCGACAAATCAATTAAATTTGTTTACTGTCAGATTCATCATCTGAAAAAATGCAATACGGCTAGTGTTAGTGTAGTCAAGATTTTGAAGGGGTAGTAAGTGTTTTCTTCCCCAACTTCTACGCCACTGAAAAAAGTTCAGTTTTGAGCCACTCATCTGGACCGCCAATGTTTTCTACATAAAATTTTCTTGTCAAACAAAGTGTCACTTTTGATCCTAATGAAACAATCTATGGTATTTTTGTTTCCATGGCATTTCTGTTGTATCCACAGCCAAATATCCAAAATAACTGAAAAATGGCTGAAAGATGGCTTGAGAAAATATTTGAAAACTATATATATTTGTGAACAGAGGATAGAAAGATCTGCCACTAGAGTTGAAAATATACAGGATGTTCCATAAAAAAACTGATTTGTACTTTTTCCGTCATTTTGCGATTCGCATCTTTTCGTTTGAGGAGTACCAAAAAATAGTTCAAATAAAACTCTATAACTTTCATATTTGAAGTTAGTTGAAGTATACACGATTACAACGGCAACCTGCACATTCGAAAAGATGTTTTCCTTGGAAGATATATCATTCAATCATCCAGAACATGATTTCAATATTCATTTACCGCCAAAACAATTTCTGATGTTACCAATTTATTTTTAACATTCATAATCTATCATATAGTTGGCCGCGTAATGGCGTAAGGCAAAAAAAGTACTATGCATATTGACAAAAACAAAATAAAATCAGTCGAAGATTAAGAAAAGGCAATGGTTTTGCTATACCCTGTATACCGAAAAACTTAATACACATCCAGAACTCAGATTGGCTAATCAACGCATGTAAGCAATTTTCATTGCCTTCGCCGATGTTTTCAATCATACCGAATTCATTTTCATAATATCCTTATACAGGGCGAAGTGATATACTCGTGGCAGGACGGCATCACAACAGAGTCCGATGATTATGTCGGCAGAATATCCCAAGTGAGCAAGCATCAGCAGCGCCTCTACGGTCTCGCCTCGATCAACCTAACCTCAATTCGTGAATCGGACGCCGGCTGGTTCGAATGCAGGGTCTTATTCCCAAACCGAACACCTCGATCAAGAAATAACGGAACCTGGTTCCATCTGACTGTCAGTGGTAAGTAATTAACAGAGAAGTTGGCGTTTGTTCCCTCAATTTACTCTCACGGAAGAAAGAACAAAATACCCCCGAGGGATGCTCAAGGCTCAAGCTGCCAACTCCAAACCCGTGGAAAATGACTGTCATTCTGTGCTCGTTTAACAATATCCTATTATCCACAACTATCGAGTTGATCATCCATTGCTTACTCGATCTTCAGCAGTTGCTGTTGTCAATTCAGTAATAATGACAGTACGATTGAATTATATTCACCGCGGTCCGAATCCCATTCATGATTGATCTGATTGACACGATAGCACAGATTAACAAAGGAATTAGTTTGCACCATATACTATTTCTGTATATGGCGTATCGTCAATACAAAATCTGAAAAAATTGGAACCAAAATGAGAGGTACTTTTTGAATCTATAAGGACGGAAAGTGAAGGATGGAAACTGCTGATGTGAGGAACAGCTTTTAAGTTAGGTTAGGTTCGAAATAACTATCTGATCATAATGAAATATACCGTCAGCTCGATTTATTCCTGTATACTGTGGTTAAAATATAGCGCAGCATAATGTCAGTAACTTTGAGGAACAGGAAAGAGCCATTGCAGATGATAATGAAATGAACTACGATAATGATGTCATTCAGTTCGGTCATGTTCGGTGGAATATCGAAACTCACACCCTTTAATCCAACATTATTGCTCCACATCTTGGTATTGAATATTGAATATAGGTCAGGGTTAACATAGGTATATATGTATTCTTTTCCAATGTGGTGAAAAGTGATCTACTCAAATCTGTTCAGCCTGATAGAACTACACTACACTACTTGTCATTTACTGATTCAAACTTGGTTTACTTCAAGAAAACTCCCATTATATTATGCTTGTTGCTGGATGATTGATAACTCCATTGATAATGTATGAGAAAAATGATGAGGCTGATGATTGAAGCCATGAGTTCCTTCGTTCAGGGTTCTTTGGGAGTCTAAAATATAATGTAAATAAGTGTGTACCTTTGTGCAGATCAATATTGTATAAACAAGAAAATTTTAAAATTCTAACTTACTTATGAAAAGAGGATTCCTGTCTATTCGTTTCAATCGTTTCTCCGCGAATAATGCATTTCGTTCAGTTCAGTCTATGAAAAATAAACGAAAACACTAAAAAATTGTACAACTAAAAACGCAAATATTTGAATAATTTTAATCACAATCAATCACATACGCGCTAAAACCAATTTAAAAATTTTCTTAATTTTCCGCAGCACCAATAAACTAATTTTTTCAAACGCTTTCATATATATATACATATTAAAGATAATCTCTATGATACTTCCTCATTTTTTGTATTGAACCTTTCAAATTTATATAAGTTGGCTAGGATATTGACTTTTTTCTTCGAATTTAGGATTATAACGAAATAATCAATTCGATAATTTGTGTTACGAGGGAAATAGAATAATTGTTCTTTCTGAAATTTCAATTATATGAGTAGTTTGTAAATTGAAAGTATGATTGTGATATATCTTTAGAAATCCTGGATCGAAATTAAAAAAAAAAACTTTGAATTTGAAATAAAAAAAATTGGTGCACTTCTGGTCAACGTGTCATATTTGGTCTAACACTAGCGAAATTATACAATCATGAAATAAAATCGATACATTTAGGTTAATTTGTTCTGGGTCACCGGGTAGCCCTTGTAGATCAAAGTTGATTAATAACAGCTAGTAACTCACCTTCCCAGAATGTTTTTTGAGTTATAAACGGAATATTTTTTTCCGGTAGGTGGAAACCTTCTGGCAATTCCTCCTATAAATAAAACGGTGACAGAGGGAGATGAAGCTCAGTTCGCATGTTTGACCAAAGACTACGAAATCAAGGTGAGGCTAAATATGATATAACATATTTTCAGAGCAATATATTCCATATAAGAGACTCACACTCTTAACGATCCATTCTCAGTTTACTCACAAAGTTTTCTCTGCAGGTAAGGTGGTTTAAAGATGGCATACCGCTCACAGAGTACACTGATCTGATGACCAGATCCTGGGTAACCAAAGAAAACACCCTGACGATACGCCCCACCAATTCTGGGGACATTGGCGAGTACGAATGTGAGGCCTCGAACTATGAGGGGGAGAAGCAGACTGCCAGGGCTTTTTTAAACGTCCAGTGTGAGTACGAAACAGCAGGTTCAAATTTGAATTCACTCTCGGATTGAACTTGTACAAGGATATTCATCGAATAGCTCAATTCATGTTATTTTTCACCGAGAAAAAAATCTGCGGTAGTTGAATGCAGCAATAAGCAGGCCTCTCCATAGCCCTTATCAGAAGATCTACAATCCCAGCCAACAGAAAGAGGTCTTAAGGATATCTCGGCAACCTCCTTCCAGGAAATTGTGACGCCTTTCTTTACTTCTTTGAGCGTTGAGGTTCATATGGTTTCATGAGAACTATCTCCTGTTTTTTTTTCATATATATATAGGGTGTTCGAATTCCAAGATATTGGCAGATGATGTTTGTGTCGAAACTATCATTATCGGTCAGAACGGCTCACATGTCCCTATCTCAACTTTTGATTCACTATCTAATGACATTGAATTGGAAATAAATACAGGGTGGTTGAAGATTCAGAATTCTGATCACCCTGTATATCTGTAATGATGGTGGGAGTCTTTTTTGAGATTTCAAAATCATGTCGTGTGTTGATATTTTGCTATCGCTCATTCTAAACGTTCGGGATATCTTTAGGAACTCGCACCAAGAATTTCTCGTTTGTGATACCCTCGGGATGACTTGAAGAACTCACAATAAGAATTTTTGATTCAGATTACGTTCGGGACAACTGAACGAACTCGCAGTGAGAATATCCCGTTTACGTTACATACCTGATAGCTTCAGAAACTCGCAACAAGAATTTCTTGTTCAGGTTACGTTCCAGCTAGCTTAAGTAACTCGCAGTAAGAATTTCTGATTCAGGTTAATTTCGTAATAACTTTGGGAATTCGTTGTGGAAATGAAATCGATAACTGAAAGGTGAGGTTTGAAAGATTTCTACATGGGACTTCAGGAAGAAATTCGCTTAGTTACAGCACATAGCGATCTTTACTACCTCACGATAGGAGTTCGCATATGATCCTGATGTTGATCTCTCTGAGATCTCGCGGAGAGGTTTGTGTTACCTGGGATTTGATCTCTAGAAACGTGATAAACCACAAATAATTTATTATTCAAAATTTTTTGGGATTTTCTCTCCTCGTTTCTATAAAATAAAAATATGAATATTATTTCAATATACGTGTAGTAAGGACAAATCAGATGATTTGCCCCAAAATGTCACTGCGTTTAAAGAATTTTCCTATCAGAGAGCCTAAAAGAAAAATTCACTAGCTTGTCAGTGACAATTTGTATTGAAAAAATTTTTGGAGAAGGGAAATAAAGGTATATAGAAAAAATATCAAATTTTCACTTATCTTTGGACGTTTCGGGACCGGTTCTGCTCCCGTTTTCAACATAAGAAGAGATTATTTCAATAGCGAAGTCGTATAATGTCTTGAAGCTTTTCAGTTTTCAATGACAATTGGTGACGTTGGCAATCAAATGTAACCAAACCCACCCGGGTCTTGTCTAAATATGGAACTATAAAACCATATTTTATGTGATCGTCTAGTATATCATATTTGGTGCCGTGACCAGGATACAGAGTTAGGAAATCTGTGGAGGAACGAGGAGAAATGAAGTTCAAAGGAACACCATTAATGGTTAGGGATTTGCACTAATGTGTGTAGATTTCTGGAAGAAAACCACATGCGCTTTCCTCCAGAAATCAGGGGGGGAATGTAACGACCCAAGCCAGTTCGCTTGGTAGAATATTTCATCATGATCAAAAGTATTGATTCATTTTGGAAGTCATTTTCTTATTTGAGGATCATAGTTAGTGATTCAGTTCATGACTCCATTAATGAGGGTTCAATTTCTATGAGTAGTTGCATTTTTTATCAGAGAAATGAGTAACAAATCATCACGAGATCATAAATTCTATCACTCCAACTTTGGATTGTATCCCAGGTATGGTAAGACCTTGTTGGATACTCGATTCTACAGTGTTGTGCTTTGTTACAACATCAGGAAGCTTGGTGAGTAATCTGGACTTCGATTTGTATCGATTTATTCCAGTTACAAAGGCAGGAAGAGTCTGTTTTGTGGAAAAAACTCTACCAATTCACGAACGTTTGACGCTGTCAGACGTTCATAAATTCACTTCAAATCTGAAATAGAACCACAGGGACAGACTTATAAGTATGTGAAAACAGCTACCTGATCTTTGGACATCGTATGTTCACAGCTAGAAGCCTCATAATGCAAGGGAGCACCCTGAAATGGGGCCAAAAAGGGGCCAAATCCAGGTTTGTTTCAATAAAAGAACATCAGTAACCATGGAAGTGGTCCTAGTGACAATCACAACAAACGGTTTCCCTATAAATAGCAGCCCGAGCCGCGATCTCAGCAGAACATTTCCAGCCTTCGAAGAAGCAACATCTCCAGGAATAATAGGTAAATACAACATAACAAAACTGTTTTAATATTGATTTGATTTGATATTCGTCCATGTTTATTTCTGTTTATCTGAATTTATTTGATGTATGACATTTATGACATTCATGACATTAGTGGCAGTCCGCTCGGTGCTGGAAGTGACTAGAGCACCGACGGCCGTCACGGACAGCCCATTGAGGTTTATTCTTTTGCAATGAACTGGGCTTATTAGTTGCAACTGAACTGAAATAATACATATCATTACTTCTATTGATTTATGCTATATAATTGACATATGATGAAGCGTTGTTATTTTCTTCACAGAGTCACAGGATTTCATATTTATTCTTACTAAATACTCAATTTATTCACACTTACACACTTACAATCCGACCGACTTGTTCGCAGTCGGACCCTACACTGACACTTCATACATTCCGATCGACTAGTTCGCAGTCGGACCCTACACTTACAACCCTACACTGACACTTCATACATTCCGATCGACTAGTTCGCTGTCGGACCCTACACTTACAATCCGACCGACTTGTTCGCAGTCGGACCCTACACTGACACTTCATACATTCCGATCGACTAGTTCGCTGTCGGACCCTACACTTACAATCCGACCGACTTGTTCGCAGTCGGACCCTACACTAACATTTCATACATTCCGATCGACTAGTTCGCAGTCGGACCCTACACTTACAATCCGACCGACTTGTTCGCAGTCGGACCCTACACTGACACTTCATACATTCCGATCGACTAGTTCGCAGTCGGACCCTACACTTACAATCCGACCGACTTGTTCGCAGTCGGACCCTACACTAACATTTCATACATTCCGATCGACTAGTTCGCAGTCGGACCCTACACTTACAATCCGACCGACTTGTTCGCAGTCGGACCCTACACTGACACTTCATACATTCCGATCGACTAGTTCGCAGTCGGACCCTACACTAAATCCATTATTATACCAACTTAGGTCATTCTCGGACTCTATACATGCGTACAACTTCTTGATAGTCAATCCTTCTGGGATTATCTATGACTTTTATTCATAATAAAGAGTTACCCAATTCTAGTTGTGTTTTTCTGTCTTACTTCAGCGAGATTGAGTCAAAATTATGTTATTTATGGAACTAATTCCTTCTCTTGTTTAGACTCATAGGAAAAGAAAAGCATGGAAGTATACCAGGCCTCTACCTCCGTCAGCCCGAAGGAAGGAGTTGAAGAACCAGGTCCCAGTATAGTAGTATCTCAGTAATTGCAAGATAGTCCATTCCAAATAGAGTAAATTCATCACATTATATCGTTTGTTATTGTACTTCACTGCTACTAGAGCTGTTGCTCACCCTTGACCAGTTGAAAATAATCTGAAGTGCTTATAGATGACGATGAGTGGTCGAATTGCTCGATGGTACTATGGGAGCGCGTCCCCTGTTGCTCTTAAAATAATTAACAGTAGGCATACTGAAATGGACGTCCCTGTGGAGGTGTACACCACGGAGGTGGCTTGCAACCACTCTTATTTTATTCCCGACGGGTGACGATCCTTTTGCTAAAAGATGGCCCAGCCCAGAGCAATTAGAGTGGAGTGCAAACATATGCCGTCCCAGCAATTGATCAGTTAATACCAAACATAAACTTTTGCGGCTGAGTCTTGGTTGTACCAGTGAAGAGGTTTGATTGCTAATTGATAAGTCACTTTACTTCACCTCGTACACTTGCATTGTAAAAAGCTGCGTGGTTAATAAATGCTCTCGAACTTCACTTGATTTTCATTTCTTCTCTACCTTCACAAAACTCTGTATCCACGAACTTATAAAAAAAAGATATATACACAACGTGGGAACGTGTTTGAGGGGTAACGAAATGAATTTCGATACGCCTCAAATATGATATACTAGACGATCACATAAAATATGGTTTTATAGTTCCATATTTAGACAAGACCCGGGTGAAAATTTGATATTTTTTCTATATACCTTTATTTCCCTTCTCCAAAAATTTTTTCAATACAAATTGTCACTGACAAGCTAGTGAATTTTTCTTTTAGGCTCTCTGATAGGAAAATTCTTTAAACGCAGTGACATTTTGGGGCAAATCATCTGATTTGTCCTTACTACACGTATATTGAAATAATATTCATATTTTTATTTTATAGAAACGAGGAGAGAAAATCCCAAAAAATTTTGAATAATGAATATACCACCTCCTCGATTAACCTACAGACAGTATTTCACAAATAATTTTTTTAATTCAATTGTTCAGACAGAGCAAAGGTTGTGTACGCTCCACCAGAGATTCATCTGCCCTTCGGCCGTCCAGCACTCATCGACTGCCATTTCCGGGCGAATCCACCCCTGACCAACCTACGATGGGAGAAGGATGGTTTCTTGTTCGACCCTTATAACATCCAGGGCGTATTCTATAGGCGTAACGGTAGCCTATTCATCAGCAAGGTGAGATATCAAAAACATTATTTTGGTCCTATAACCAAAATGTAATTTTACCCACCTACCCAAATATCATATACAGTGTGTTACAATTTGGTCCACTTCCCCCCCCCTGTACGTAAGTATTCTTAGGGCGATTTGACATTTTCTTTCTCTAATATAATACTACTCGAAATTATCTACTTTGTCGAGCGAATAAAAATTATCACACAATTTCTTGGCATACTGATGCGATCTCAAAAACTCCAGAAAAATTCAAGAAAACGGCTTAGTAATTTTTTCACAAAAATTTTGATAATGTCGATCGATTCGGACTAGTCACAAATACTTCTTTATCAAATTTCAGAACAATATCTCATATGTGGTGTTTTTCATCAACGTTACAATTCTCTAATAATTACATTTTTCGAGTCACCGTGTATGATAATTCTTATAAGAATTTGAATCATACCGGGCATGATGATAGTCAGGATTAGATCATCTGTCTACAGAGTGAGATAAATAACGAATGAAATGATCATAAATTTAAATATAGTTTCCAGAAATAAAAAGAAGAAGATAGAACTAAATATTACCAATCAAAATATAACATCAGAAGATCAGAAAGAAAACAGCAACCATTCCAAACAAGTTCAGATTTTTGTAGTGTCGATCAAATCTCCTCCTTTTACTATACACTTTCTTATAATATCTCTCTAGCACGTTATTAGTAACTCTCCTCAGTTCTTCTGGTGGTATCTCTACAAATTGTTATTATTCTTAGTCGCCACTCTTCTTCATTTCTTGTCGTTGATTTCTCACTCTAGCCAGATGATCTAATCCTAACCACGATAATGTATGGTAATACTCAAATTCTGTAACGAATTATTATACACGTTAACTTGAAAAATGCAATTTATGAATAGTCCGAATCCACTTCCATTATCAAAATTTTTGTAAAAAAATGCCTAATCCGTTTTCTTCAATTTTGCTGGAGTTTTTGTGATCGCAGTGGGCCAAGCCTGATAAATTGTTTTGCTCGACAGAGTAGAAAATTTTGAGTGGTATATTATGAGAGGAAAACATTTTCGAATGGCCCTAGGATTCGTAACACACTAACAATATTCCTCATTTCATTTTATTCAGACCACTTTTCTATGTAGAAAAAGAATAACACCCTGAAAATATTAAGGAACACCCAGTATAAATTCATCATTGTAACTAAGGTGGACGAGACACATAGCGGCACATACACCTGCACCCCTTACAACGATTTGGGCAGCGACGGTCCATCAACCAACATGCACGTGTTGGTTCAAAGGCCACCTGTTTTCGTGCGCACGCCTCATAACCTATACTTGAAGAAATTGGGCGAGACCATCGAACTGCCGTGCGACGCTAGGGACGACGATGACGGTCACAAGCCGAACATCGTGTGGTACAAGGTGAGAGTTGACAGGCCGGCCTATTCTCATTGAAAACACGTCATTGGCAGATGAATAGGCAGCGGAGAATTTCCCGGTACGCTTAGTATGGCCCTTACTCCTTTGATTCGTTTCGTTTTCCTCAAATACCAACTGATTAAAAACAAAAACAATGATTTTCAGTTTTTTTTTTTCAGGAACGGCCAAATTTTTTTCAGTTTGCAAAACGTATACCGTTTTGGAAATAGCAATATGATATCTCTATAAGATCCAATTCCAATGCAAAAATACTGCTTTGAACTTGTTGAAATCAAACATAGAACTGTGTACCTAATGCCGAAGCAAAGATTACAAATTTGGGGAATGCTTTTAATCGAAAGTGATTTGATAAGCAGTTTGAATTATGATCATCAGGGGCGTCATTTCAGTGTTTAGTACGAAAGGGAGGGGCAAGGAACAAGGATAAATTTTCTTGTTTGATATAAAATGAGCCGCAGACGAATTTTTTTTTGGTTCAAGGTCAACGGCACCCTTCAAATTAGGAATATATTTTTTTCCAGATTGACAACATATTCATATATAATACATAACTTCATCACATTTTATTCAATTTCATTTTGTTGTAATTGCTATGAAATTAAAAAAAGTTATATAACAATTGGAAAAGCAAGTGAAAAGTATTCAAATACTCTTTGAACTGAGCAGGTGAATGTACATTTTTTCAGATTTTTTATATTTTTCCCTCGTTTATTTGAATGAAAATCTGAAAATGATTTCAATACCCATCATATGTGTAATAAGGATAAAGTGTCACTTCATTATTAGTAACTGATTTCTCTCACAGTTTTTTGAACGCAGGGACATTTTTGTTATCTTATATTTTTCATTTTTAGAAACTAAATGACATGATTATCATGGTGCAAAGAATTCGCAGATTTGTAAATCAGAAAATAAGGAATGATATCGTATAGTATGTTTCTCTAGTAATTTCGTTATAGTTTAGTACTGTAGTTTTGTACATATCTGATCCTAGTCAGTGTTATAGTTAGGTACGTTTATTTTATGTGGTTATAATTTTGTTTAATTTGTATTTATTTTTTCTTGTTTTCTTATCCTAAACTATTCAATGAATGCACTTCTTTCGGTTTCTTATATTCTATATTTTTTTATCATGCATTGTTCGTCGTTTGTATCCGGTAAGAAAATATTAGATGGTATCATTAATCTAAAAATTGGTGAAAAAAACAACAGAAGGAGAAAAAGTGATAGTAGGGGCCGCAGGGGCCTCAAGAATCATTAGGCTTAGGGCCCAGAGACCGTAGATCCGCTGTGGATAGTAATAAAGTTAGTCAGCCTAGGCATTATATGGATTAGTCGTCTTGATATTCAAGGCTCTTTGGAAGATTTTTTTTTTCATTTCTTTATTTAGCAAAAGCTGATATACAAGTCAATGTAATATAGAAACAGTCATGAGATCTAAACGAACAAGGAACATCTAGACACTAAATTCACAAACTCAAGATCAACACAAAAGGTACAATAAAAATACAGGACATTAAATAAACGATATAAATCTTCAAAAGTTTGAGTTGGTTCGTTTCAATAAATGCATTTTTAACTTTTTTTTGAAGATATTGATGGAAAATGCCTTCTTCACGTCAGATGGCAAGTCATTATATTGTTTCACTCCTTTAGAAAAACGGAATTTTGATATTACCAAATAATTTGGTGCTTCACCTCTTTAAATTTTGAAAACAGATACCAATACCAAAAATTCAAAATAATCTTCAATAGGCAACCAATTCAAACTTTTCAACATATCCTTTATGGGTGTGTTCTTATTACATGCTAATATAATACGCATTGCTCTGTTTTGCAATTTTTGTATTCTATTGAAATCATTCTGATTCAGAAGATATAGAATTGTTGAACAAAAATAGAGGTGTGGAAGAATCAGGGTATTGTGAACAATTTTCTTGGAAAAAATGAGAGGTAGTCTGAACATCTAGACAAATAAAATATTCCATGATTCACTTTTGATATTATATAGTTCGCATGTTCTCGGAATGATAGTTCACGATCTAGTATGCTGCTGAAAATTGTTTTATCTCACAGAAAGATGGTATGTCACTTCCCATGGGCCGATACTCAATCAAAGAGGGAAACCTCACCATCTTCGACATTCAATCCGATGACAAAGGAATCTACCAGTGCACAGCGACTAACAAAGCAGCTACGATCGTAGCAGAAACGGAACTTCTGGTGGAAAATGTCCCGTCCAGCGCCCCCTACAATTTGACGGCCATATCGTCGGCCAATTCCGTCCATTTGACTTGGCTCATCGGTAGGCAAAGAGTCAATGTAGATTTCAGTATTTGGTACAAGAGGAGGGACAATACTGAATGGAAGACGTTTCCGGTACCGACCACCAAAGTTCTGGAGGCTACAATCACCAATTTAGAACCAGGTAAACACTTAAACAGCCTTCTGAGAACTAGAGGTTTCTGATTCTGAAGGTACGATTGAAGGATGTTACCGTATATCACCTTTTTCTCAAAATAGATTGAGAATATCCATGAATTGGCATTCCACATTAAAATTTACTTGAGAGACATTCATTCATCAGGCTACAAACTCGAAGAGAGTACCATTACTACCATTCAAATGTAATCCCTCTCAAAACAAGCAATAACTTATGTGATTTCCATTATTTGACGCATCAAAGAATTCAATTTCACGTTCCAAGAATGGCGTCCCGAGAAAATCGAACCTTTGCCAACTCCACGCATGAATGTATGTGGAGACTCTAGTACAAAGAATCTGCGAAAATTATAATAATCATTGCACAGCTTTTGACATTTTTCATACAACAATCCAGCAGATCAGATCTTTCTCTCTTGTATTAGGCAATAGTTATTCATCATTATTCTTGTTTACTTATATTCCTGTATTTCTCAGTTTGTAATTAGAATTATTCTGTGAACTATAAGTAAATGGATAAGTAAATAAATAAATAAAAAGAATAACTTTATCAGCAAACAGGTCCCATATCCTGAGTAGATGTCAGTCGTGAAACTATTTTTCTGGAGGTGTCCGATATCAACTTGGAATCAATTTTATTTACAGGGTGTCTGGTAAATCATGGATCATACTCTATAAACAAGTTTATAACCTATCAGGAAACCACAACTTGACCTCATTAAAAACATCACGGTTCCAAACAAATAATGAGTGTTTCATGTTGAATCTTATTCTCGATCAATATTACTGAACAGTATAGTTGTTGCAATCGCAGCAGGCAGATTTTTAATAGCAGTCATCAACTATCTACAAAAAAATATCCTCCGATTTGCGATCCTTCGCGATTTGTATTATGAAACTTTGTTCAAAGTTTTTGTTGTAGACCGCGAATAACTGCTATCGAAAATCTGCCTTCTTTGATTGTTACACCCGCTATTTAGTAATATTTATCAAGAATCATCAGAATCAACATGAGGAGCTCCTCATCTGCTTGGAACATACAAGACAGATCTGATTTAGGAATTCAATTATTTTTAAAACATTTCAATGTCTCGAAAACAGTGAAGATTTTACTTAGTTCAATTAATGGTTTCCTGATAGGAAATGATCTTTTTCAGCAACCGACACAAAAGTCGTCCATTTTGATACCAAAATTAGCTCTTAAATTGACGTTTCTATTAGTGACACAAAAATAGGGACAACATAATTAGTTCCTAGGAGCTAAAGTCGAACTTTAGCTCCTAGGAACTAAAAAGGCAGTACTGGACGTCATCAAGAATAAACAACATTGTTAGGGTTGGTTATTTGGGTTGAGACGCATACCTGATCTGTTTCCGATTTCGGCAGATTTGGCATTTCATACCCATGCTGGAGATATAAATACATCTTATTATAGTTGAGTATTGAAATTATAAACATCTCAGTTGAGATGAGTATTTTTGTTTTGTTCAGGGAAGCCTTCAAAATTCAAATACTTGCTGGATCTGTATTTCATTCGTTATTCTCGGGATAACTTGTTTTTGAATCATTTGTATTATGGAGAGGAGTAAATAATCGCTATTATTATTGTTGATATGCACACTAACCTTTTCCACGTCTTGTTCCTATAGCTGGCACTGGCGCGGTATTTGCCATTAGAGCACCTAGTCCTCACAAAAATATGTTTCTCTGTGATTGAATTTATATTGAAACTACGATTCGAACATCCTTGAAAATTGAATGAACCTGCTGTTGATGCAGGTAGAATGTTCTCACTACACGGATTATTTGTCAATATTTGTTGCATTGCAGACATATGGCACGGCATTGGTGGTATCTTCTCATATTTATTTGAGTTAATTGTTTCGGTTGCAGAAAAAATAGCTGTTTCATTCGGATCAAAAGTGGCTTTGTTCGGTTCGCAAATTTTGTCAAACAAAGTGTCACTTTTGATCCTAATAAAACAATCTTCTATTTTTATCACCAGCTAGATCAGGTATATTTTGGATGTAAGTGAAGAAGCTAGAAATCTAGAGATCACCATCACCAATATAGAACCTGGTGAACGATAAACTGTGAAAGTACTTCTTCAGGTCTCTACCATACCATGATTGATTGTCCTTATTTATTGGCCTCCCTCAAATTTCATGTTCCTCAGAAACGATTACGTTATAGCAGCACATTCAATTTAGAAACTCATAGAACTATATATGCCAAACAATAATCTGATAAACAGGATGATGACGCTGAGTAACGGAGTGAACTGGGACATTTTTAACACAGGTACTGAAAGAGCCAAACGCACTTTTGCCTTAATGTACTGTCTTTATATTCAATGTACATTGTATTTTATGTGTATATATGTATAAATGTATTTTCATTGTTCTGTGATGTGTTTAGGAATCTATTGTATAGGCTATATATTTTTTTTACACTGGAATCGCCCGTTCATAAATAAATACATATTGGTTCCGAAACCATATTTCCAATCTTTGTTACTTTCAGCCACCGAATACGAATTCATGGTCCTCTGCAAAGACGACTATGGCGACGGTCTCTTCAGCAAATCTATCTTGGTGTGGACCAAACACTTAGAGGGAGAACCGGAGCGATTTAACGGCAACTTGCCCCCCGTGGGATACCCCCGAAACATCACTGTACGCCCCACAGATACGGGACTGCTGGTGGCCTGGCAACGACCCGAATACGGATTGGAATTCCTCAAGCGGTACCAAGTCAGGTGGACCCAGAGGCCGGACGACTACATATTCGGGTCAGCAGATACAACCAATACTACGTATCTAAGTGAGTTGAAGTGATCAGTAGATAGATGATTTTTGTTATGTTGCCAATATTACAAATTCCCTTTTTTTGCAGTTACCAACCTATCTGAGGGTACGGAATACGATATACAAGTGGTAGCATTATCCATCGACGATCAGCAGTCGGTGAGCGGTAAAGTGATTGGCGTTTTTCCTGGTTACAAGAGCATAAGAGCTGTGGCTACAGGAATAATTGCAGGTTTGGCCTTTCTGGGGACAGCATTTGTTGCTGTTTATTACGCCAAGAGGAAGTGGTGTAGGCCGTACCAAACAGCTTTGAAGAATTGACATAACATAGCAAATTTTATGAAACACTTCAGCAGCTAACCTTGAAGCTAATACACATAATTGTATATCATTAGAGATCCGTTCATTAGGGAAGGAACAGGAATTTTCATCATTAGATACTTACTTCATTCAACGAAATTTGGTATTTATTGTCACCTACACCTTTGATAACATTGAAATACCTCAAAACTCGTCCAATTTTAACAACCTGAAGAATACTACACAAAGCTTCTAGGAAATTGATTCATAAAACACTTCTGAATAGAATAGTAGAATGAAGGGACTATCCTACTACTATAATATCATTTCAAGTTTGGATACAAATTATCAAGATACACCGATACACGATTTACATTTTGTTATTTTTCACGAAAATGATTCTACTTGATAAACTTGCAATCAGAATGTGTGACATGATTAATATAATATATCACAATGCCTTACATTGTTTGTTATCAATAATACACTGTTTTCAAAAATATATATTTGTTTTAATTCTACGCACATGGTATACAAAGGTATATGGGTAATCATTCGAGTTTCGAGACAGGGGCATAATGAAACCATATTCAAAATACCTTTGTGACAAAGACAAATTTACCGTAAGTATCAATATCGGAATAAGCCTTTGGAGTGGACAAGATTTTTTAATATCCAATACGTTGCGTTTTATCAATTCTCAACTACAGTATATTTTCTCTTTCACATAATATATCCTTCAATAGAATTTCGAATATTCCAATTACCAGCTCATGCCTGACCTCCTGGTCAAAAAATCAAAATATGACCTTATTTGAATATTCTTATTTTTGAGATACCTCTACTGCTACTGGGACTTGAAACGTCAGTTTTTCGACATTCCATAGCAAAAAATCCCATTTTATGACCAATTTTGGTACTCGAATTTCCGCCGCAACCTGAAATAGGCTCTGCTGTTGATCACAGTCCAAAATGAAAATTAATAGTGACATATTTTTAGATTTTTTTATTAGCTTATGGAATATACTCCTCTCGCTGTGAAAACACAACCACGCTGAGGTCGCTGAGTTATTTTATGCAACGATAAAGGTGTTTTCGGAAACTTACTCTGGGTTGTTATCTCGATCCAGAGAGGTCACGTGATAATCACCTCTTCGAGTCTTTCAGCCAAGATTGCCAACGGAATATTTTCACCTTCAACAGATTCTTCATTTCCATGTGCATCTTCAATAAGTTAATTTTCTGGTTCATTATCAGTACCGTATTCGTGGATTTCATCACTTTGATTTTCTTCTTCTTCTTTATATCATAGTCAAGCAGTGCAATTCCCAAGTTTTATAAGACTAGAAAAGGAATTATGAATATTTCATAAATTTTCGGCATGATACCCAATAGTGGTGGCAATCGCGAACACCAATTTCGAGGAACTATGGCGATGTCTATTTGTGAAGATATTCCGAATTCATTTCATCTAACTTCTAAGGTACCTACTCTCTCAGATCACATATTTCTTAGAAAGGAACAGAGTTTTGCCTTTGTATAGTGAATATGTGTACTTACCAAATGCATTGTTGAAGTTATTAGCATCCATATCAACTACACATTCAATAACCGTCTCTCAGATACGTGAAATGAGCAATTTTTTATTTTATGAAAACTTCACATAATATACCTACCCACGGCATTGTACCGGCAGTCTATAGAGAAGTGACATCTATTGGTAGAGGAAGGAGGTTATTGTTTCAACTGTGTCAGAAAACTGTAATATGAGAGTGGCAGGATCGAAAGGGTTATGATTTTTTTTTGGGTCGGAACTATATTCATTATCGGTAAAAACAGCTTGTAACATATACAGGGTTGTTCTAGATGCAGAATTCTGATCATCTTTCATCTGTTCCAATCTAATATCAGTGAGAAGTTGAAATAAGGACATGAATGAATAGTTTTTTAGTAATTAAATTCGAAGACCTGTTTTTTTGTTTTTTTGAATAGACCACATTATATTTATATTGATACCATTATGTACCACCGAATTTCTTGTTTATAAAACTGTATGTTGTGTGTAAACAATAAATGAATTGAATTGAATTGAATTGAATTTTGGCACAAAAAAATCCTGAAGTTAAAAAATCCTAATTTTGAACACCCTATTTCTCTGTAATCATTCCCGCTAGACCCCAAGTGTGATGCATTGATGAAATCAGCTCTTCAAGGAGAATCTGAAATGAATACAGGGTGTTTTATTTGAAATATCAAAGTTGCTACTACTTTCTGGTATAAACAGCAAAGATGTATTGCTGAAAATATTTCAGATCGATAGACCAACGGCAACTTGGGTAACCAAATTTTCAAAATGATCCTATGTCCCGTTTTCCGTAAACGTCCCGGGTAACATCGACCGTGACCTACCATGTATACTTATTCATACAAACACATGCGTATCAACATTCACAACATCCATCATGAAAGCGAAAGCAACATTTTCTTGGCATTGAAAATATACAATAACGTTGTTGAACGTGCATTGCATAGACTTCTTCGAACGATTTGAAAATTTTAATTCTTGGTTTACCTGGAAATTTCAATTTCTCCAGCAGAAATATTGAGAACTGACATGACAGTTATTAAATAAACAATGTGTTTGAGTCGAAGTAGTACCAGTATGGGTATCTTGGAAAATACAAAAGTTGCGCGATTGACGGGCCATAACATAATTTTCAAAAATGGTTTTATTGGGCTAGATCGTCATACTTGTTAGGCTAAATCATCTTGCTATTTCTCAATTTGTTTCAAAAGTATTCTTATCCGTCATCCGGTTGCACCCTTACGAGCAACCCTCAGAAGTATTCAAGAGACTTGTGCGAGCAAGGAATGACGGGGGCCTTGTGTTTCTTAGGCCATCATAGGGGGACAAATCCAACTTGGAGGGGACTGCGGGCTCGGGGACTTCGGCCAAAGCTGCCGAAAAAACCAAAACGGCCTTTACAGGCAAGGGGAAAAAACCCCTTCGAGGTAAGGCGCCGAAAAAACGAGGTGGACCGGAACCTGAGGCAAGAGGGGAAAGTAATCCTCCTTGCCCTCCCTCCTCGTAGGGAAGATGGCTACCCACATCTCGTTCCTTCAGGCGAATATCCAACATGCCAAAGCGGCCTCTTTCGTCCTTGGCAGGAGGTTCGCCTGTCAAAAACTTGATGTGGCATTGATCCAGGAACCCTGAATTTCCAACACAGGCCGGATTAGCGGCCTGGGAAACTGCTCTGGTAAGTTGATTGCATGCACTACAGGTGGCAAACCTAGGGCTTGTATACTTATCCGGAATAACATCAACTACTTTATGTTAACAGGTTTCTGCACCCCCGATGTGGTTGCAGCTCAGCTCTCGGCCCCGGTGGGGGACAGCAGCATAGACGTAGTAGTCTGCTCTGCATACTTCCCGGGCGACCTGAGGGAACATCCTCCTCCAGCAGCAGTGCGAGAGCTAATCGCCTTCTGCAAGAGGAAAAACAGGCAACTGATCATTGGATGTGATGCAAATGCCCACCATTTGGACTGGGGAAGTAGCAACATCAATGAAAGAGGTGAGTACCTATATAACTATATAATAGGTGAAGGGCTAGTCGTAAATAACGTAGGCTCGGAGCCAACTTTCGTGAACAGAATTCGCGGAGAGGTTTTAGACTTAACAATCAGTACACAATTTATGAGTACGAAGATCGTTAATTGGCAAGTATCTACGGAGCCCTCATGTTCAGATCATAGACATATACGATTTGATGTGAGAACAGGACACCGACCAATAGTACAATTTCGTGATCCTAAGTGCACAGACTGAAATGGGTACTGTGAATCTCTCCAGAAGCACCTTGATCCCAGAATCAGTACTATCAAAAATAGTGCCGAAATCGAAGTGGCGAATGAGCGTATAGCAACCGCAATTCTAACGGCCTATCAGGACAACTGCCCACTAAAGGAGAAGAAAGACCACAGAGGTACACCCTGGTGGAGCAAGAGCCTGGACAAAAAAAGGCAAGAAGTTCGACGTCTCTTCAATCGAGCTAAAGATGCAGGGTGCTGGGACACTTACCGCACATCTCTAACGGCTTATAACAAAGAAATAAGGAAAGCCAAAAGAGACTCTTGGAGGAGATTCTGTCAGAGTATATCAGATGTACCTGCCAGCATGAGAATTCACAAGGCTCTCGCCAGAGATCCGACCCAAGAGATCGGCTCGATAAAACGACCGGATGGCTCTTTTACGGACTCTGGTAGGCAAACGTTAGAGGTTCTTCTACAGACTCACTTTCCCGGCAGCCTGCTCCTGGAGGACCGTCAGCAGATTCCACTTCCAATGGGATCGATAATACGACCAAAAAAGGAGGACTGGAAGAATGCCTCAATGGTGGTCACCCCAGAGTCAGTGGAATGGGCGGTGAATTGTTTCTCCCCATTCAAGTCTCCGGGAGAGGACGGAGTTTTTCCTGCCCTCTTACAAAAGGGCAGAGAAGTTTTACTACCTCTCCTGGTTAAATTATATAGAGCGAGTTTGGCGTGGAGCTACATTCCGTTAGGCTGGTCAACAGCGAGGGTTGTGTATATACACAAATCGGGTACGGCGAATCATTCCCTACCCAAATCCTTCCGACCGATCAGCCTTACCTCGTTCCTATTAAAAACTCTAGAAAGAATTCTAGACAGGCATATTAGAGAGGGGAATCTAAGGGAGCATCCCCTAAATCCCCATCAATATGCCTACCAAACAGGCAAATCAACGGATTTAGCACTGAACAATCTTGTAGGAAAGATCAGCCATTCCTTAGATCATAAGGAAATTGCGCTGGCAGCCTTCCTAGACATAGAAGGAGCGTTCAATAACGCCCTACCACAATCACTCTACATGGCAATGCAAGGTAGAGGAATCAGCAGACAAATATGCAACTGGATCAAAACCATGATTGGAAATCGGTACGTCATATCATCACTGCATGGAGGGTCGATCAGGTTTAGAGCGGCAAAAGGTTGTCCACAGGGCGGGGTACTTTCCCCCCTTATGTGGTCATTTTTGGTTGACTCTCTGCTGAGCGATCTCTCCATGCAGGGGGTGGATTTCCAATGCTATGCAGATGATCTCGTCCTAATAGTAAGAGGGAAATTTGAAGCGACGATCTCAAACGGCCTACAAGAAGCCCTCAATACTGTGTACAGGTGGTGCGAGAGGGAGCAGATGTCTGTGAACCCCCGGAAAACTGTAATTATCCCTTTTACCAAAAGGCAAAAGCTAGATAAGCTTCGTCAGCCTGTCCTATATGGAGAGAGCATTCCGTTTGCGACGGAGGTGAAATATCTAGGGGTCACCCTAGATAAAAGACTCACCTGGAACGCCCATATGGCAAAAACTATTAACAAAGCCAGATTTTCCCTCTGGAACCTCAGAAGGGTATGCGGCAAATCATGGGGAATGAACCCCAAACAGATTTACTGGATTTACCAAACAATGG